TGTTATTTAACATTTTATGCACCCTCTGATGGAGATTGTCAGGTTTGGAGTGGTAAGGTGGCATCAAAATGCAGATGACACCCAGCTCTATCTCTTATTTAAGGAGTGACCAGTAGCTGGAATTCCAGTGTTGGCCTCCTGCCTGGATTCAGTGGTGGAATGGCTAGGTGAGAGCTGGTTGAAGCTGACTCCATCTAAGACAGAGATCATATGGCTGGATAAGCCCAGGTGCTGGGGTGGCCACTTCTACTGACCCTTGATGGGGTCCAACTTTTTGCAGTCAACTCTGTTAAGAGTTTTGGGGGGTATGGCTCAGTTCTTTGCTCTCTATGGACAAACATGTCCTTGGTGACAGAGACTGTGTTTTACCATATACACTGGGCCCCTACCAACTGACTCCCTATCTGTCTCTGGAGGATCTTGCCACAGTAATTTATGCAACAGTCACCTTGAGACTGGACTACTGTAATGCACTGTATGCAGGGCTGCCTTTGAAGATGCTTCAGATACTGCAAATCATCCAGAACATAGCTGCCAAATTGCTGACAGGAGTGTCCTGGTCAGCACATGTAACACCTATCCTACGGCAGCTGCACTAGCTCTCAATTAATTTCTGGTGCCATTTCAAAGTATTGGTACTAGGGGTCTTCGCTTGGTATATACTGAGTGGAATAAATGCCCCCAAAATACCTTATCGATATTTTTCAGTTATTTACTCAGCTGAATACAGATCAGAAAAAGTAGCTGCCCCTGAATAAAAGCTGTTATTGGCCCCGGTCACACAGCAAAGTTGCTACAGGAGAGGCATGGGAGTCCCGCGGATTTTCCAGGCGAGATCTCACCCCAACATCTGGGAAGCGCAGTGCTCCCGTGGCGAACCCGTGGCTCCCCACCGAAGGTGCGGAGTTAAAAACTAGTACCTACGAGGTACTAGTTTCCTGAAACTGCGGGCCAAGGGCGGGCGTCTGATCGCGTTCCCGGTGGACTTACGTGGCATCCGGCGCCCGCTGCTGTTCGTCTCCGCAGGTTGCGCGACAGCGCCCAACAGCGCATGCGCACAAAGAGCAATTGCCAGTGCGATCACGTGGCTCGGCTTCTGTGCCGCGCTGCAGGATACCCGTCTGATCGGCATTTCCCCTGAACCACGGGACCTCGACCGGGACGTGTGCTCCGGCAGCCACACGTTAGTTTCCTCCGGGACATTTAGCCACGCCTCCCCCTGCAATATCCAGCCCGTGTGACCGGGGCCATAATTCGGCTTTTACTCAGGCTTGGCTACTCACGGGAGTCCTGCAGCCCCTGCTGCACAACTCACCAGTGAAGGGAAGATATTTAAACTTTAAATTCCTTCCCTTCCCTCTCTGCTCATGCCACCTCCCCTCTGCTGGGGAGTCAACACTGTGGAGATGGCACAAGCCAAGCGGGAAGGGAAGGTATTTAAAGTTAAAACACCTTCCCTTTGCTGGGAAGGTGTTTGTCCAGCTGCTGCTTAAAGACTGCCAACGAGGAGGAGCTCAGCACCTCCCTAGGCAGCTGATTCCACTATTGAACAACTTTTACTGTAAAAAACTTCTTCCTAATATCCAGCCAGTTCCTTCCCACCCTTAATTTAAACCCATTATTGTGAGTCCCATCCTCTGCTGCCAACAGGAACAGCTCCCTGCCCTCCTCTAAGTGACAGCCCTTCAAATACTTAAAGAGAACAATATATCCCCCTTCAGCCTCCTCTTCTCCAGACTAAACATTCCCAAGTCCCTCAGGCTTTCCTCATAGGGCTTGGTCTCCAGGCCCCTGATCATCCTCATCACTCTCCTCTGCACCTGCTCCATTCTGTCCACATCCACTTTGAAGTGAGGTCTCCAGAACTGCACACAATACTCCAGGTGCAACCTGACCAATGCAGTGTACAACGGAACTATCACATCTTGCGATTTGGATACGCCTCTGTTGATACATCCTAACATCACATTAGCCTTTTCTGTCGCTGCATCACACTGGGTGATCATATTTAACTTATGGTCCAATTGTATGCGTGTTCCTCATTTTTGTTACCCAGATGAAGAACTTGGCACTTCTCCTTGTTAAATTGCATCTTGTTCACATCTGCCCTCTTTTCCAGTGTCTTCAGATCATGTTGAATTCGATCTCTATCTTCTGGTGCGCTCGCTGCTCCTCCCAAATTGCTGTCATCTGCAAATTTAATGAATAACCTCTCCACATCCTCATCCAGATCATTTATAAAAATACTGAAAAGTACCGGGCCCAGAACTGAGCCCTGTGGCACCCCACTGGACACCTCCATTCAGATGAAATGCCATTGACAACTACTCTTTGAGTGCAGTTCTCCAACCAGTTCTCTATCCACCTAACTATCCTAGAGTCCAGTCCACAGTCCTCTAGTTTACCCATCAGAAAATCATGGGGAACCCTGTCAAAAGCATTAGTGAAATCCAGGTAAACAACATCAACAGGATTCCCTCGATCCAGTAAGTTTGTCACTCAATCAAAGAAGGAAAGGCGGTTGGTCTGGCAGGAACTATTGGGGAAAAATCCATGCTGACTTTCCTGGATCATCAAGTTGTCCTTTAGATGCTCGCAGAGGGATCCCTTTAAAATCTGCTCCAGTATCTTCTCCGGGACAGAGGTCAGACTGTCTAGCCTGTAGTTTCCTGGGTCATCCCTCTTCCCTTTTTTGAAAGTTGGGATAACATCTGCCCTCCTTCAGTCTTGTGGCAAGTCTCCCATCCTCCAAGAGGTCTGGAAGATGATGGACAAAGGCTCTGCAAGCTCTCTAGAAAGTTCTTTGAGCACTCTTGGTTGCATACCATCTGGCCCAAGGGATCTGTACTCATTCAATGCAGCCAGGTGCTTCTCAATGACCTCTCTGTCCATGTCAACCAGCAGCCCAGATGCTGTGACTTGCCTACTATCATCTCTAGATGAGCCTGTTCTCTTCTTCAGGGGAAAAAACTGAGGCAAAATAGGCATTGAGCCTTTCTGCTTTCTCTCTGCCCTCTGTCAGTGTGTCTCCATTTTTACCTAACAGTGGGCCCATCACCTCTTTTATCTCGCGCTTGCTCCTCCCATATCTGAAGATTTTCTTGTTGTAGTGAGCCTCCCTGTCCAGTTTTAGCTCACTGTGAGCTTTGGCCTCTCTGATGGCTGACCTACAGTGCCTAGCAACCCACAGATAGTCTTTAGAGGTATGGCCTTGCCTCCATTTCTTGAACATTTCCTTTTTCTCCCTTAGCACATCACAAAGTTCTCTGTTCATCCACATTGGCTTCTTGGATCCCCTACCATGTTTCCTTCTTTTTGAAATAGTGATGACTTGAGCTTACGAGAGCTCTTGTTTTAGGAGAGCCCACCCTTTACTTGCTCCTTTCCCTTCCAGCAGTCTTGCCCATTTAATTATTCTCATCATGCCCCTAAGTTTATTAGAATCTGCCCTACTGAAATCTAACACACACATGTGGCTATCCTTGATCCCCTATGAACTTCCTTGGCCCTTCAAGCTGGCTCTATAGTGTTCTCGTAAGTTCAGCACAAGTTCATCACCACCACCACCACCCTAGCCGTCTTAAGCCCCCTTTTTATGATCTTTAGTTCATCAGCATACCAGGGAGCCAAGGTAGTATGGGGTGAAGAGGGTGCTGGGGGGCCACTCGGACAGTGGCCTCCTGAAGGCCTGGATTCCAGGTGTCAGTGAGTTCGTCAAGAGAGCTGCCAGCAAAGCCAGGCGAATCCCACAGAACATTCTGGAATCCGACTGGATCCATGCATCTCCACGGGCAAGCATAAATAAGCTCACCGCCCCTGCAGAGGGAGGAGACAAATCTCAAACCAAGCTTCACAAGGTAATGATCAGTCCATGACACCAGTTTACAAAGTGCTGCTGAATCCAGATCAAGCCCAGCACAAAAGGACAGATCCAGTGTGTGGCCTGCTCTGTACATGGGGGCCAATACAACCTGGGAGAGTCCTAATGATGCTGTGGCAGTCATAAAGTCCAAAGAGGCACCAGACAAGGCAGCACTGGCGTGGACACTGAAGTCCCCCAATACTATCAGTTTGGGGAAACACAAGGCCCACTCCGCTACTCCCTCGGGCAACCTCAGCAGGGAGTCAGCTGGTAAGCTGGGTGGATGGTAAACGTTTGGTGCAGGAAGCTCCTCGAAGAAGAAAGAATCTTTGATGAGAATTGCTGTTGACAAAGGACCAAGTATCCTGGGGGAGTCAGCTGAGTGAGAGCCACTACTTTGTCCTCGTCCACCCAGATCTTGGTCAAGCATGCCAGTTCAAAATTGCCTTTCCTAATAAATTCTTCAAAGAGAGGCAGTCTTATTCATAATCAATCTGACATTGCACATCTTCAAGCTTGAAGAGGAGGGCAAAGAAGTCTGGGTCTGCATACCATCATGCCTTGGGATGGAAAGGAGATTAGAAGGAGACCAACAGACCCATAGCCAGGATATTTTAATTCGGGGGGGGGGGCTTTTAAAAAAACAGGGGGCAATGAAATTCGCATGCCGCTTCCACTTCTCCCCCAAAAGGACCTTTTAAATGCTTTGAGGGAGAAGTGGGGGCTACATGCCTGCACTCCAAGCCTCAAATGGAACTGATTTCACTGAAAAGGACTGAGCAGTTATCTCTGATATGTCAGACCTGGGTTAGGTAAGACAGTTAACAAGCTACTTCTAGGCAGTGCCAAGAACGCTCTCATGAAAGTCAAACTGGAGAGCCAAATCTTGCCCCAGTGCTGAGAAGCTCCAAGACGGAATGCCTTAGGACTGCTTTTTACCTCATTAATAGCAGTTTTCTGAACAGTTCAACTGCCTGGCTGACACTGAGTGAACGGATCCTGATCAGGCATCAGGCTTAACAAAGAAATCACAACCACATTTTAAAGAAAAAAAGTCTATATGACCCTGTAGATCTAAGAAATATGCTTTTTATATAGCAGAGTTTATGAGAATCTATAAAAAAACAATGGAAGCTGGCAAAGACAAACCATATAGACGAAGAACAAGGACGATAGGAGATGTTGTTAAAAACAGGATTTGTTAATTAGTACAAGAGAAACTCTGCATCACTGCAGACAAACAGTGCCTGCAGGGCAATCAAAAGATTCCATGACACAAACTCTAAAAAAATATATTTCCCTGAAAAACATCTTAATTTGAGGGATTTCACAAACATGCATAATGCAGAGCAGAGATATTCACAGCTTGAATACATAGTTTTAGTATCCACCAAGAGGAAAACTCTGGCTTTCCATTATTCAGGTATCCAAACACAAATGTAAATGATCAACCATCCCTCCTACTGAAGCTTGCCAGCTATGAACAAATTCTTCTTTTCTACATAAAAGGTCAGCCATCATTAGGCAACATTTTGTTAACTCATCTTTACAATTAGAGCTTCTCTGCCACCTTTTTATGGTAATTAAATACAGTTCTCCTAAACTCCATTTAAACACACGGAAGTTGTTTATACATAAATCCAGAGTTTGGTAACAGGACTGTGTCCTCCAAGTATTAACACCAATCAATTTAACACAGAGTATGAAAGCAGCCCTGCCAGCCACAGTGCAAGTCAGCTAAGGACTAGTTCACCAAGCAACTCTTTGCTGACTGTGGCAGCAGAAGGGGGGGGGGGATGCTATTTTTCAGGATGATGTGCTGAAATCCCAATCGGGGCTGAATATATATAAGACTAGTGCATGATGCTCTTGCTCCTTCACATGACTCTCTCCGGCTGACAATGGTACTCACCAGCCTCTGAAGTTTAAAACTTCTCTTTGAAACAGTTCTGTGCACTACAGTAGCATCTTAGGGCCTGTTCTGATAGAACCTTTGCTCATTCTAAGCATGGTGTGGCATAAAATTATGCTTTAGGCAGACGTGCACTTCTACATGTGCATAGTGTCCTGTACAAAACAAAGCCTACATAGGTAAATATGGATTGAACTATACCCTACCCATAGCACCCATCCACACAAAAGAGGGATGGAGGATCACATAGGCAGAGCAGGTGTCTGTATGTATGACAAAGCATGTGTTCACATAAAACAGTCTGTGGGTTGGATCCAGCCAGCCTTTCCCCCTCTGTCTCACCCAATTCCCATCCATACCACATCTCTCATCTCACATGACTATTGTTCATGCAGGTCCCATTATTCTCACTTTAGCCTATTTGGTTAGTCAAAAGTGATGCTTCCTTCCTTTTTCCACTAGAAAAGCTGGTTGGATCCAACTGTGTGTGTGATGAAGTACATGTGTATGCGCAGATGGACAACAGCCAAGCTCATTCCTGAGTTCCACTGTCTGTCGACTGTATATGCTGTGGCCATGTGTGAACAGCACCTTACAATTATTGTCTCTCTATGACAGAAGCAGGAAAGATACTCCCAGTCATGCATACATATATACTAAGCCAAATTATAGATCATGACACTTGTCAACTCTCTCCAGTGTCAAGGAAAAAGCATACTCCAATAAGGGATGGTTATTAACTAGTCTGCATTACGATTTGTCATTTTCTACAGAAAATTACATGATAAACATGGTATCTACTTTCACTGATAGCCCAAGAAAATGGCTGCCTCCGAGTATGACTCAACATACTGAAGTTCCAATGCGCCCAACAAGTTTCTAAACAACCTTATTAAAGAAGGGTGAGTATGGGGGGATTAGAACCATGCCATAGAAAATGCAGGGAGGGGGAACCACATTACAAAATAGCAGGTCTTGCAAACAGGAGAGAAAACGTCTTTGTGCGGAGTCCATTGTGCAAGTTAGAAATATCTGGGTCCTTCCATTCCAACTGTAGACCTGGAAGCCTTACAAAGCCTCATTTCGGTTTCTAGCCCTTCAGCTGAAGTTTTTCAAAGTTTCATCTCCATCCCATCCATAGTCCTGGGACTCTGGGGTATAATGCCACAGCTATACAAAAGGGAACAGTTGTCTTCCTTAATGTTGTAGCATGAACAGCCACTATCAAATAATCTTACTGGCCTAACGGGAGCCATCTGGTCGAAAGAGTTCTGCACCTAAATAGGTTACAGTAGGGGCTTTCAAAATAAGACTTGAAAGGAACAAGCAGTAACCTGCGCTTCTATGTGATTATTTAATTACAAAAACCCACACATAAGTTATAAATCTCTGGTTCAGAGGCCAAGGAAATATTTCCCATTCTCTAGAAGAAACCAAAACAAAAATGGAGGACTTTGTGATCTTCAAGATACAGTCTGCTCTTCTTTGGCCACAGTCTGCAAAAGAAAGCAATGTAGTGTTAGATCATAAGAACATAAGAAGAGCCCTGCTGGATTCAATAGTCCATCTAGTCCAGTATCCTGTTTCATACAATAGCCAATCAGTTCCTCTGGAGGACCAACAACAGGGCACAGAGGACGAGGCCTTCACCTGATGCTGCCTCCTGGCTCTGAGATTCAGAGGTTTAGTGCCTCTGAATGTGGAGGTTCCCCTCAGTCACCACGGCTAGTAATCCCTGATGGACTAATCCTCCATTAATCTATCTAATCCCCTTTTAAAGCTGTTTATTCCTGTGGCCATCACTACATCCTTTGGTATTTCCTTTTGTCCATCCTGAACCTACTGCCCACCAGCTTCATTAGATACCCTTGAGTTCTAGTATTTGGGAGAGGGAGAAAAAGTTCTCTTTGTCAACTCTCTCCACCCAATGCATAATTTTGTAAGCCTTTATTATGTCCCCCCTTAGTTATCTCTTTTCTAAATTGAAAAGTCCCAGACTCTTCATCTTTTCCTCATAAGGAATTTGCTCCAACCCCCTAATCATCTTGGTTAGCCTCCTCTATACTTTTTCCAGCTCTGAGATGTCTTTTTTTGAGATATGGTAACCAGAAATGGACACAGTATTCCAAATGAGGCTGCTCCGTAGATCTATACAGGGGCATTACAATATCACTGTTTTATGTGCGGACTCTAATCTGGGAGAACCGGGTTTGATTCCCCACTCCTCTACTTGCACCTGCTGATGTGACCTTGGGTCAGTCACAAGCTCTGGCAAAGCTGTCCTTGAAAAAGAGCCCTTTGTGTCAAGAGCTCTCTCAGCCCCACCTACCTCACAGGGTGTCTGTTGTGGGGAGGGGAAGGGAAAGGAGTTTGTAAGCCATTCTGACACACCTTTGGGTAGTGAAGAGCGGGGTATAAATCCAATCTCTTCTCTTCTTCTTCTATTCTCAATCCCTTTCCTAATAATCCCTAACCTAGAGTTTGCCTTTTTCACCGCTGCAACACACTAGGTTGACACTTTCATTAAGCCTATCCACTACGACACCCGGATCTTTCTTTCTTTCTTTCTTTCTTTACATCTATAGCCTGCCCTTCCTGGAAGCGGGCTCAGGGTGGGTAACAACATTTCATTTATATGAATATATTAGCTAGTACAATAACATTAAATTTAAAACATCATCATAAATATTAAAATGGTGGCCACAACAGATAGCAAAGGGATTGTCTGGTTGTGCAAAGCCCCACCCCCTGCTCTCAGCAGCCCTCAGTTGGGCCACAAGAAAACTGGAGGAGGAAGGGAAGTTGCCTGCCCGCCCCCTCCTCAGTTTCTCCGGGCCACGCGGCACCCCGGGGAAGGCCTGCCCACCCCATCCTCTAAGCGGTGGGGAGGCATTTAAATGTCTCCCCGTGCCTTCCCCCGCCCATCCACTGAGGTGGGCAGGGGAAGGCCTTCCAAGTGGTGGGGAGGCATTTAAATGCCTCCCCGTGCCTTCCCCCGTCCGCAGAAGGGGGTGGCGGCAGCAGTTGATGAGGTGGGGGGTAGGCCGAGGCCACCCAGGCTGTGGGCAGCTTGGCCACTCCAGTGGGGGGGGGGCTTGCTTCAGGTGGGAGGTGTGTGTGTGTGTGTGTGTCTTGTGTTTCTCTGTGTCTCTCTCTGCCTTGTGTGTTTGTGTGTGTGTCTCTGTTTTTGTGTCTCTTTTGCCCCATCTGTTCATGTCCCTCTCTGCCCCTCTGTGTTTCTCCCTGCTCCTCTGTGTGTGCGTGTGTGTCTCTCTCTGTTTGTTTCTCTCTCTGCCTCTGTGTGTATGTGTGTGTGTGTCTGCCCCTCTGTCTCTCTCTCTCTGTCCCTGTGTGTGTGTGTCCCTCTCTGTCTCTCTGTTTGTGTGTCTGTTTGTGTGTCTCTTTCTGCCCCTCTGTGTGTGTGTCTCTCTCCCCCTTTGTTCGTGTCTCTCTCTGTCCCTGTGTTCCTCTATGTTTCTCTCTGCCCATCTGTGTGTGTGTCTCCCCCTCTGTTCGTGTCTCTCTCTGCCCTTGTTCTTCTGTGTTTTTCTCTGCCCCTGTGTATGTGTGTGTGTCTGTCTGTTTGTGTCTCTCTCTGTGCCCCGTGTGTGTCTCTCCTCCTCTGTTCGTGTCCCACTCTGCTCCTCTGTTCCTCTGTGTTTCTCTCTGCCCCTCTGTGTGTCTCTCTCACCCCCCTCTGCCCCTCTGCAATGTGTCATGGTGATTTGTTGATGTACACATAATATTAAAGATGCACACTCTGTCTGTGTGTGTGTGTATGTGTCTCTGCCCCTCTGTCTCTCTCTCTCTGTCCCTGTGTGTGTGTCCCTCTCTGTCTCTCTGTTTGTGTGTCTGTTTGTGTGTCTCTTTCTGCCCCTCTGTGTGTGTGTCTCTCTCCCCCTTTGTTCGTGTCTCTCTCTGCCCTTGTTCCTCTGTGTTTTTCTCTGCCCCTGTGTGTGTGTCTCCCCCTCTGTTCGTGTCTCTCTCTGCCCTTGTTCCTCTGTGTTTTTCTCTGCCCCTGTGTGTGTGTGTGTCTGTCTGTCTGTTTGTGTCTCTCTCTGTGCCCCGTGTGTGTCTCTCCTCCTCTGTTCGTGTCCCACTCTGCTCCTCTGTTCCTCTGTGTTTCTCTCTGTCCCTCTGTGTTTCTCTCTGCCCCTCTGCAATGTGTCATGGTGATTTGTTGATGTACACATAATATTAAAGATGCACATGTTCTATGGAAATCTTGAATATAACAAAACAGGAAATGACACAGAGAATAGAATTAGGAGATTTATTTTCTCAGTGCAGCAGCAAAACTGAAATGGGGGATGAGGGGTTAAAACATGGGGAATGAGGAGTAAGAAGTTGGAAATCACCTGTGGTATAGGCAATGAGGTGATGCACACTTGGGGTGATACACATCCATATTTCCATTTCTGGTGTTTAGGCTCACCCTGGTTTCTTACTAATCCATAATGTAGACAGGAAAAAAAAATCCCCATGCTCTGACTTGATACAAGGCATGTGTTCCTCAACAGAAAGAAACATTGATGTACACAAATCCACGCACTCTGTAATTGCTTAAAGATTGTTATCACTATAGGATGCACTAAAAAAGTGTTGCTCTCTTTTTCCCCTCTTTCTGACTTTGCCACAGATAAAGTATACTTTCATTAATACATGGTTACCTGTGCTATCATGCTGTCCTCAAAATAAAACCAATTTGCATATGAGTTTCTGAATTCCACAAATCAGACTTTGCACAATGACAATCTCATCCACTTTCTTTCTTTCTCTCTCTCTTTCTTGCTGGAGATTTTTGGGGTGGAGCCTGAGCAATGGGTGTTGCCTTCTGGCATACTTCTGGTGATGTCAGGGGGTGTGGCATATGCAAATGAGTTATGCAAATGAGCTCCTGCTCCTTTTTTTCTACAAAATGACCCCTGCTTGGATGTATGCCATCAGGACCTGGAGACTTATTGGTTTTTAATTTGCCCAGTAGGTCAACAACAGGAGTGTCAAACTCATTTGTTTCAAGGGCCGGATCTGATATAAATAGAACTTTGTCAGGCCAGGCCATGTGTGTCATAAAATGTAATGCCAGGTATAAAGGATAGCGACAAACACAATTAAAGGGTTTTTTTAACTTAAAATACAAACATGCTTAAAATAGTAACACTCTTGCCATGTTTTATTTAACAGTCTTTGATAACTGACACTTCCCAAACCTCCCCCCCCCTCTTAAAAGATGCCTACCTAAAGTGGAAAGGTGGGGGGATAGTGGGATTTGGCAATGCAATTTTTTAAATAAAATATCAAGAAAAAGCACAAGGATCATAGCAGAAACTAAAACTAAAAATATAAAATGCTCTGAGCCTAGGAAAACATGTAATGGCAGACCCCTGCAAGCTCCCCCCCCCCAGGTCTACTCAGAGTGGCAGTGGCTCTCCAGTGTAATGTCCTCCTTTGACTGTGGGCTCCCAGGTTAGTGTACTCACTCAGGCACCTGTTCTCAGGTCCATTCAGGAGGCAAGCTGGCTCAAAACATCAGCCCTTTATTTGCAAGCAGACAAATTCAACTAGCATACAATACTGGAAACTGAACCTCCACTCCATTGAAATACATTGCAGCTCAAAAACATTTGCAAAGAAAATGCGGAATGGATTTTCCATTAAGGTTTCTGGGCCCAGACAGACTACTCTGGAACTGGAATGACAGTCCCCAGAGTGGAATTCCATTCCCAGAATGCAGCTGCTACTCCCAGGGACTATCATGGGCCTGATTAAAGCCCTGGGTGTGCCACTTCTGGCCCACGGGCCTTAGGTTTGATACCTCTGAACTTCATCTCTGGTCACCTCAATTTGGCTCAATTCTTCATACTCTTTTCCTGAAAACAAGACCTGTGGCATAGGTACATGCCCCACACTTTCTACAGTGAACACAGAAGCAAAAAAGTCATTGAGCTTCTCTGCCATCTCCCTATTTTCCTTTAGTAATCCTTTTATTCATTTGTAATCCAAAGTCCCCATTGCTTTTCTGGCAGGTTTTTCCTGCTATATATTTTTAAAATGTTTATTGTATTGATGCTTTTAGCAATCCACTTCTCAAAATCTTTTTTTGCGTGCATAATTATTGCCTTGCATTTCTTTTGTCAGAGCCTGTGGTCCCTCCTGTTCAATTTATTGGGGCAGACCTTCCACTTTTTAAAAGAAGCCTATTTACTTTTTATAGCTTCCTTGACTTGCATTGTTAACCACACAGACCTTCTTTTAAACTTGGCAGTGCCTTTCCTAACCCACGGAATGCATTCTATTTGGGCTTCGATTAGTATGGTTTTAAATAACCCAAGTATCCCCTAGGGATATGACTCTCTTGTGTTTCCCCTTCAGCTTCCTTCCCCTCATTTTTGTAACGTTCCCCCCTTTTGAAATCAAATGTGACAGTTTTGGACTTTAGGGGTTAATTTTCCATTGACCTGAATGCTGAACTTAATAGCATTGTGGTCATGGTTTTCAATTGGTGTAACAACCTCTACATCTCTCACCAGGTCTTGAAGCCTGCTTACAACCAAGTCCAAGATCACTACCGCCTCTGGTTGGCTCTGTGACCAACTGTTCCACTGCACAGTCATTTATGATGTCTAGGAATCTCATTTCTACAGCATGACTCAAGCACATGTTTACCCAGTCAATATGAGGGTAGTTGACGTCTCCCAGTATAATAATATTATCTGCATTATTTCCTTCTCCATCTCAAGATCAGCTTCAAGAGTTTGATCAGGTGGCCAATAGTACACCCCCATTTTTAAGTAACTCTTAGGGCCCAGTATTTTATTTTTTAAAAACAAATGTATTTATCAGTTTTGAACATCAATATATCATTCCAATTATTTACAACTTTTGCATATTTGTGTCTACATTTTTTATGTTCATCCATTTATACAAACTGGCCCATCTTCCCCAAAAACTACTATCATCTTTTCCTTGTAAAATCAAGCTTAGTTTCTCCATTTCTGCTATCTCTAATATTTTGTTAACTACCTCATTTTTAGTGGGAAGTTCATTTTGTTTCCAGTACTTGGCTAACACTATCCTGGCAGAAGATACGATACAAATTATCAGATATTTGTCATTTAATTTATAGCCTTCCGGTATGATATTTAATAGGGCTATTTCAGGTGACAATTCTATATTTCTATTCACTATTTTGGCTATTTTAATTCTCCTGATGTTTTCTAACTTATTTGATTCTATGCCCTCTTTGATGTACAACACAACACCTCTCCCAACTCATCCCTCCTTGTCCTGCCTATAAAGCTTTTACACAGGAATTACTGTGTCCCATAGATTTTCCCCATTCCACCATTTTTCTGAGATACCTACTATACTGAAATTGTCACTGAACACAAAGCACTCCAGCTCCCCCATCTTGGCTCAGAGTCTTCTAGCACTGGCATGTGTGTTCCTCTCCAGTAACCCCCACCTCCCTCAGCCCTTAGTCATCACACATGACCCTCAGTCGCCATCCTACCCTCACTCCCAAGTTCTAGTGTGCTCCTGAGTCTTTACACCATCATCCCTTTGGACTGACTTTTCCAGAACCAGAGGATCCCCAGCTTCTATTGGCTTTCCCCCTGGGATTTGTTTAAAAGCTGCTCTGCCACCCTTTTTGATATTAATCACCAGCAGCCTGGTTCTCTTTTGGTTCAAGTGAAGCCCATCTCTTTTGTACAGGTTCAGCTTGTCCCAGAAGGTTTCCCAGTGCCTAACAAATCTAAATCCTTCCTCCCAGCAATCCTTTCTCATCCATCCATTGAGACCTCTGATCTGCTCCTGTTTTGCTGGCCCTTTGTTGGAACCCGCAGCACTTCTGAGAATGCTACCTTTGAGGTCCTGGCCTTTAATGTTCTGCCTAGTGATCTAAATTCTTCCTCCAGACCACACAACTACATTTCCCAATGTCACTGGTGCCAGCATGCACTATGACTGCTGACTCCTCCACAGCACTGTCTATCAACCTATCTAGACAACGCTTAATGTCTGCAAGCTTCGCACCAGGCAGGCAAATCACCATGAGATCAAAATGTCTGTCAAAGACCCCACTCTCTATATTCCTAATTATCAAAGCAGAAAGATTCGGAGGGGGGGGAATCACTCAAGATGGCAAGCTGTCCCTAATTCAGAAACAGGAGGTGCTTATAAGGGTTTGAAATAGGAAGCAAGCTGAAGAAAAGCAGGATATACTGCTACAGTGGCATCAAAATGAGTGGTTAACATAAGAGCTGCATGACAACCACAGGCCCCAGCTTCCAAAAGAAATTTCAAACCCTGTGAATGAAATGAAGGGAGGGGGGAAATACTACACTTCTCAAAATAATCCAGGGAAATACAGAGCAGCATGTAGTCAAGGTTCACTCTTTCAAGCAGGCCTACCTAGGCAGAGGAAGGATTGCCAAAATAGTAGTACTTGGAAGAAATAATTTCCCCAGTAGAGGTACAGTTCAGACACCTAGCTCTTGAATTCCAAGTCTTTTTACCGAGGCTTTAACTTAAGGGTTCCACCTTTTTAAGCTATTGAATATTCTTATGAATACTGTTTCTTGCTGTTTTTAACATCTAAACTTTTTAATGCTTTTATTATATTGTTTTTATTTTGTGAGCTTCCTTAAGCAGTTCTTGGGAGATGTAGCAAAGATTTTCAAAATAAATAATAAAGCCTATCCCTGCTTGCACCAAAAATAAGTTGCCCCAGAAAACACACAGTGCAAAATCAGATTATCAGTACCACCACCAACCGCCCATTGAGATCCCAGCATCACTCAACATTGATGGCTCCTTTCCTCTGATGGGTAAAATCCGGTAAGGCACAGGAAGCTTTCTGTGGTCACACATATCTTATGGAAGTACCTCCTTAGAGCGCTAAAAAAGGCCATATCTTTGACATTTTTTAAAAAAAATCTTGGTTATAAAAAGCCTCATAAAAGGTCTTTAAATTTGACAGTGAAGGTTTTGGGATAGGTGCTGGATTATGTAACTGACTAAGTATTTTATTACTGAATTGCTAGATCGATTATTATTATTATTGTTATTGGTTTGAGCTCTGAGTGAAGGAAGGAAGAAATATAAATCTCATAAATGCACATAGACATACAATGACAGCAGGAAAACAGGTTATATAAATCAAACCGGAAGTACCTGCTGCAAGAACTGCTTGCCTAGATAGGATGTCGCCAAGCTGGTCAAATTCTTTCTGCTGCCCACTTTGCACCGGATATAGCCATAAAGATTAGCTCCTTGTAAAGTCACACCCAGGATCACTACGGCCTACGAAAGACACAGAACAAACCTGAGACCTCGTTGCAATCTGCATCCATGGGGACTAGTCTAGCCAGGCATTTACCATGCAACCAGTTGCTCAACTCACCAGCCACTTCACTCTGAAGGAAAACAGGGCGCTGAAAGCAAAGATGACCCAGAGCAAAGGACATGTGATCAGACCTAACCAGAAGATTCTGGACTCTGCTTCTGATGTGACTTTCTTTCTTGGAGGAGATGCCTAAGAATTTAAAGAAATAAAACTGTACTTGCACAGTATTTAAAGCCCAAGAACTGAATGCTATACGGCTAGGTAAAGCTAAAGGTTCCCTTCCTCGAAAGCCAGTCGAATCCGACTCTAGGGTTGCAGTGCTCATCTCCGTTTCAAAGCCGAAGAGCCAGCGCTGTCCGAAGACATTTCCATGGTCATGTGGCCAGCATGACTAAACACCAAGGCGCACGGAACGCTGTTACCTTCCCACTGAAGTGGTACCTATTTATCTACTTGCAATTTCTTGCTTTCGAACTGCGGTGGCTCAAGTGGTTAAGATGCTGAACTGCAGGCTGTGGATGCCCTGCCACTGGCCTGCACACCTTGTGGTTGGCCAGTGTTGTGTGACCCAGGGGTGGCTGGGCAGGCACACTGAGGTACCATTCTCTTTGCCTCTTGTCCCATTCATGGTGAGAGCAGAGGCACCATGGAGCCAGGCCTTTTTGCTCTATTTAAACCATGCTGCCCTCCTCCCGTGCCACCCTCAGAGCCAGCTTATGTGACTCATAGTTGGCTGGCATCATACATGGAGCTGGCTGCTGGTGTCGTGTGATGCAGGGTAGCTGGGCAGGTGCAAGTGTAGTGAGGCGCCATTCTCTTTGCCTCTTCTTGCCCCATTTGTGGTGAGAGTGGCAGCAGTAGAGACGAGCTGGTGTGGTGCTGGTGTGGATGTGGCCAGCTGGGGTGGAGATGGCTAGGACAGCGCAGGAGAACACACTGCTGCACTTCTTCACTGCGGGGTGAGTGCTGCATCTTTCCTCTTTTCCCCATCCTAGTGTCAACCCCCTCCCCCGTCTGTCACTATTCAGCCTCGCCCCCATTCTTCCCCCATGCCGTCATCTTCCCTCTTTCCTATTCATCCTTCTCCTGCCTTTCCTCCCCTTTTCTCTCCCTGCATTTTTCTTTTCCTCTTCTTTCTTCCCCATTCATTCTTCTCCTCCCAACTTTTTACTAATTCTGCCTTTCTCATCCTTCTTTTCTTCTTCTTCTCTACTGCTATCCTTCATTCTTGTCTCACCCCGCCTTCTCCATGCCTTTCTCCCATATCCTTCTTTCGTCCCCCTTTCTGTTTATCTCTTTTTTCATCTTTCCATTCATGTTTCTTCATCCACTTTTTTCTCCATTTTTCTCCCCTCTCCCTTTTATCACTCATTTCTCAGTCTTTTCCTTCCTCCTTTTAATCCCCCTTCTTTCTTTTATTTAATCCCTTTTCTTTCTTTATGTGAATAGCAAGACAGGTACCCCCTGTCAGTTTGCCTGTAGCAGTAGAAAAAAGCAAGAGTCCAGTAGCACCTTAAAGACTAACAAAATTTTGCGGCACGGTTGGGGCTTTCAGGAGACACTGAGAAGTGAGCAGTGATTCAGGAAAGCTCTTACTGGACTTTTGGTCTTTTCTATGGGAATAGCAGTTTGGCAAGCATACCCAGTTGTCATCTGTACAATGGCCCTATAAGGTAGAGCAGTATTATTATCCCTGTAAACGTGAAAGAGCGAAGTCTGCCTAAGGCCAACGGTGAGCTCATGGTTGAGATAAGATTCATCTTATATCTGTAGTTCATTTTCAGAGTTATTATACTACATCAATTCTGTTTTCTCTTTACTTTGTGTGTTCCATTTATCCCCTTCAACATACTTCTCAATGCCTCCTCTTTTTGCCTACTTTTAGCTGTACGATGGGAGCTTCCATGTACAGAGGCTGTCTATCTTGCCATTGCTGAAAATAAAAAGGTGGAAGGAGGGCCCTTGGTGCCCTGTTTGTGAACAGGCAAAATCAGGAAACTGTCAAAAGAAAAACACTGAAGGGGGGAAATCTTTTCTCTGACCCAACAGGGCCTCCCTTGCTTAGGACACCAGCTGGGATTCAAAGGTAGACTGCCTCTGTAAAGGGCCATTTTAAATTAAGGGCTCATTTTATTTTGTTGATTTTCCCCCCTAGCTATTTTACCATCTGCCATTTCCTGCCCTACACTTTGCCTACAATTTGTTTTTGTTTTTTTACTGGCCCTGTTTTTTATGGCTTTTATGCTGTTTGTGTTGCCTGAGGGCTTTATTTATATATTAGTTCTTTGCTTGATTTATTTTTTACTGTTTCTGTTATGGCTTAATTGAGGCTGGTTTTCGGTGATTTTGTAGTATCTGGCAGTTTTGTACACACACCTAATGGGCTGCTCTCCATTGTACTAAACTGCCCCCTTAAAAAAATTCTGGCTATGGTGTTGCACAGGCCTCAACAGTGTGGTTTTTTTAAGCAGAGGAACAAGTCAGTGTTGATAGGGAGATCTTTACCTTCCTGGCTTCAAACACCCAGTGGCTCTTGCCATCATCATCAACCTGGTTCCACCAACGGAGGCCAACCATCAGCCTCCCTGTGACATTCTAGAGAGAGAGAGTTGGATATGATGTGAATTTAAAGCCTTACAGAAGCTACCATACAACTTTCTAAACTGAAATACTAGTTTCCAGTTAACACAGGACAACTACACATACCACCAGGGAAGAGACAGCAAATTAATATGAAAGACTGTTACACTAGTATCAGAAACAATTCAGCTATTGTCTCCTCAAAAAGGCAATCTCAGGCACTTGTTCAGTGTTCACCACAGTTATTTTGTGATGTGTGTATACTGTATGATAAACATGGCGCAGATACATGGACAGCATTTTCAACATGTCACGAGAGAGAGAGAGAATATATGTATCTGCAAATATGACTGAATAGATGGAGAAAGTGAACAAATTGTGACTACATTTGAATGTGTCCAGTTCATTCATAAACAGAGTATCTGTGCTCATGTGCCCAAATATGAGATAACGTTCTGCTCCACACAATATTTTTAAATTAGAATATCTGTTAAGCTAATAAAAACAATATTTAGCATCCTAATAATTATTTATACAGCTATTTCAATGAAGATAAAAATGGGAATGTCAGAACTCATAATAATGTAATATAAAAGATCAGGTGTAAGGCAAATTATACAGATGGTGAGTGTTTCTGGCAGGACAAGATGCATGTGCACATTTGAAAACAAAACAGTCCATTGTTCAAGCTACAGCTTACATCATCCCCTGGGATGCAACTATGCAGGTTCTCAGCACTCCGGGAAGCATAATTCCCCTAGGCAGAGAAATATTCCAAGAACCAAAAGGGGCTGCAGCCAGAATTATGACATTGCTGTGCAAACCCCCCCCCCCAAATGAGGGGCTCTGCAGGGACATCATACAAGCTTGTGATTCAGTCTGCGGTCTTTTCTGAGGACTGATGCCTCTCAGCATGAGGAACTACATTTCTCAGGATTCTGGGGCATGTGTTCAGAAACTTTTAGACCATGGTGTACTGATATCAGTGTGCTAGAGCCAATATTTATAACTGAGACTTCAGATTGGTGACTAAATCCACAAATAACTAAAGATTACTAATCACAAAGCAGAATTAGCAGGTTCCACCTATTTTTAGAAATTGTCTTATTTTTAAATAAAAGATGGGGGGAAATTCACTACACATACCCAGAGGCAATTTTAGTGTAATCAAGACCAAGAGACAGCAAAAGATTCACCCCCTCCCTTTACCTTTGTCACTGAACTTAAAGCAAATCTCAGTTTACAACCTTGGACCTGTGTCCAACAATATCTATTCTCAAGTTTCTTTGATATCAAGCATGTCAAAGTACCACCATGAACCAAAGGAATGATTTACCTTCACTGCCCAGAAGTCACATGACAGAAGAAGGATGATCGTCACCACACAGGCAATGTAACTGTTGCTGAACAATTCGCAGAGTAAATAGACTATCACTGCACTGACCCGGAAGAACAAATGGAAAAAGGAGGCTATTGGATGTCTGTGAAAGACACAGTAAGATAGCAGTTTAGTTCTTGATTCACATGTTCATTCACCCAAACAGCTTAGAACAGGGCTACAACTTCATTAATAATTCCCTGCACAGTGGCTCTTCCTAGACAGGAGTGTTCAGGTCAAGTAGAAAAAGAAATTCAGTCTGTAAGTCAAGTCCCTCCAACAGCATCTCCTTCCCAAGAGTTAAACTTTGCTGTTCCGTGGAACATATCTCTTTCCTTCTAAGACACATAGGTGAACTGGTGAACCATTCATGTGGTATCACTTTCTGACACCAAGAGGTCACAGAATGCACACAACTAAGGTGTCATCTTCTCCAATAGCACCCACTGTTGCTATTCCGCCAGTACTTGACCTAAATCTTGAAGATCACATTGTTTCCATGCTAATCTGCGCCCAGAAGAAGCTATGCACCAGTTTATAGGACCAAGCTGCTGATTTTCAGTATACCTCACATATACAATTTTTATGTACTTTTGTTATTTATTGGATAGTTTGTATGAGATTGTATATTATTTGTTGTAAGCCGCCCTGAGTCTTACTCGCAGGGAAAGATGGCCTAGTAAATCTAATTTAATAAATAAACTTCATATTATCTCAAAAATTCTGCAAAAGAGGGCATACAAGGCATTTCCCTGTAACAAATACACTCCTACAAAAAAAAAAAAGGAATGACACAAAAACATGCAATGATGAGCCTGTTGTAGTTTGAAGTAGGCAGCTTGAGGCAACTGTGCTACATAATACACCCAACCATGTCATCAGTCACTTACTTAATTTTTGATTTCTTGGGCCTCCTGGGCATTTCATCATCAGCATCGAAGAGTGACACGTCTTCCGTATCATCATTACTGTCCTGGAAAGGCAAGGGGACAAGGGTCACAAAAGACAGGGATTGTCCCCTTCTTGGAAATTTTGTGCCACAAAAATCAAATAAATGAAGTTTTAAGTTGGATTCTTTTAAAAAAAAATCTATAGATTTAAAGGAAAATAGAGGCATGATTCTATCTGTGCACTAATACACAATTAAATTTGCATAGGAGACATTAGCAATCTGATTAAAACTGGGGTGAACAATCTTAAACAGTAGATTTAACCAACTAAAGTTTTACTTGAATGAATAAGAGCTAAAACTTCAAGGCACATTTGCTTATTTTAAGGCTATTGTTGGTTTTGCTTGCAGTTTAAAATATCCCATTTCCTTCAAGAGGTATTATTCTGTGGTTTTGATAATATGCAAATTAGTCTAAATTTAACCCACTGACCAATTAATCTGCAGCTGCCTAAACAATTATAAATTCTTTAAAAACAAAAAAAAGATAGCCCTAAACACCTTACCGGCTTTATGAGACACACTGTAAACATTTGTCCCAAAGTCATTCATACATAAAAAAATATTATACTTGGTATGGATAAAGAATACATTTAGGGTTCCCAGTGGTAATATGATGGGGTAAACATCTCCATTATTAATGCTGTTACCTATTTCAGCAAAATCTGGGGAAATTATCAGTTACTAAAACTTGTGAATGGACACTACTTTTGAACATGTGACACTGCCTTATACCACGTAAGAACACTGGTGCCTCAAAAGTCTCAGGTAGAAATTTTTCATATTATCTACTTTCTGATCTAATCTCAGTCTTCTACATAATTGTGTCTCATGCCACACTTCGTACATTTTATGACTTTCCGACCCAGTTGTTTACATTTTTCTTCCTCAAAGGTTCATACAGAATGTCTGGACAGACAATGAATACCATCAACACACCTTGGACAAACCGGGCTCTAGCCGTGGGGGGGGGGGGGAACCAGACTCTGAAGTTCCACAAGAGTCCTGCTTTTCTTGGCTGCTACAGACACACTAAGCTATTCCACTGGTCTAGTTCTGTGGAAGTTTTAAAACAACGTGAGCGAAAATAAATTAAAGCAACTAGGACAAAGGAAGAAGAAACGCATCCCATATGTTCAGTGCTCGGACCATGCACCGGCAGGGAGAAGCGATGACCGGACTCTCCCCCACTTCCCCCAGCAGCAACTTCTGCCGCCCTTTGCAGGAGCCGCTTTCTCCCACGTTTTGCTGCTCTCCACCCCACCCCGAACTACCGCAGTTCGCCGCCCACCCCAGCATTTGGCTACAACCTCTGACTCATCAACAGGTAGAATAACACAGGCTTCTCCCCCACCCCAAGCCCACCTGTCGCAACATTGCTTCCGCCACCAGCCACGTCACAGCGCCATCCGCGCCACAGAACTGCCTACGTTATCACCAAGCGACTGGCGCGCTGAGTTAAGGGAGGGGAGTTGAAAGGAAACAGACTGAAGTTCCGGTCAAATAAAGGAAAAAGGCTAGCCTCGGCCATGATTCTCTCGGACACTCTAGCCCCTAAAAGCTTTATGGTAAACCGCCCCTGTTTTAGAACGAAGTCTCACACACACACACACCCATATTGGAGTGGTGTCCAATATAGGGGGTGGTGAGTCTGAGCGCAACAAACCAGTTGTTTGAAACCGGAAATGTGGCGCAATCAAGACCGCGACGTTGTGTGACTCTCATTTTCTCTCTGGGTGCTTTGATTTGATAGACAGCCCGCTGAGTCCGTTGGAAACAGCAGGTGGCTGTAGTTTCATTTGAATTTACATAGATGAGGCAGGTCCGCGGTTGGCAATGATTGGGACGCAGGCGCACTAGAATGTCAACATGAGTATTCTTATTGATTGGGGAAGGGAGTATTTATTATTTTGTTGAAGGTTTGAAGAAACATCCTAAAGAGAAACCAACGCATGAAAAGCGGCATCTTCACACCCTGGGAGTAGTAGATGTGTCCTGGGACTGGAATGACAGGCCATTCGCCTGATCCAGCATTGGCTTCTCTTATGTTCTTATATCCTCTCCTTCCAACTTCATGAGTACTTCCTGATGTGACGTAGAATATTCCTTTTATTTATTCTCTGGTGTATTTCCTAAGCTCTTCTGAGGTTTTTTTTTCTTGTTCCTCACTCCTACCTTTATACTAGCTCAGCTGTCAGTTACCTAATTGACTAACCAATCAAAAGGATCAGTCAATTGATCTAAGCTGAATCTAGATCTTCATCTGTCAAGATGGTCTGCTGTCAACCAATTACTCTGACAGTTCACAGCTGGCAGCTATCATGCTGAAACCTAACTGTCTGCAGGTGCTCATTACGTAAGGTACATCATGGCTTGAAAACAATCCAGACAATACTTACAATTCCAAAGAAAATGCAAATACTTAGGTACTGAGGACTCACTTTCGTGACACTCAGAATATAATGAGCTACAAGAATACAACAGGAAATCCTATGACATGAGTAATTGCAGGAAGAAGAACCAGAGTTATGAGGAGGTATATCACAATGGGGAATAAGGCGTGTCAGAAGGTCAGAGACAACAACTCACCACCACTGAGTGACCATACATTGCTGTTCTGCTGCTCTTCTCAGAATACATACCAAGAGGCAGAAAGGCATGGTACCTTCCAAAAGGGGGGAGGATGGTAGCTCTGTAAGAGCTTACAACCAAGGTAGTCCATCTGAGGGTGCTAATGTACATGTGAAGGCCACTGCCTTAATCTGTCCGTTGTAATTATTCATTTTGTCCTGCCTCTGCTGCATTATTTTAGTGATCAGCCCCCCCCTGCTAATTTGAAGTGCACATTTAATTAGGATTGAAGCCCATTGAAATCAACAGGATTTACTTCTGAGCAAACATGGATAGAATTGAACAGCTTGGTCTCTTTTTGTCCCACACTGCACAAGAATGGTGTAATAACTCATGCCTCTTCCCGCACCCTTCACATGTAAAAATGGATCTGAATATCTTTTTTTAAGTAATCAGCATCCAAACCTGTTGTCCCAAGGGGAACAGCAACAAGTCCTGGCTTCTTTTGAATTCTGTGATGACCAAATTGCAGGTATGAAATCAGTGCACGCAGGTATGAAATCAGTGTACTGGTAAAATATAGCCTATATATACATTTGATAGGTACTTCTGAAGTATTATGTATAGGTTAATTATATTCTCTCTGTCCATTCATGGCTGACCTTGCTGGGTCAATTTGTTTCATATCTCAAGAGAGACTAGTGGAAATTTATATTAAACAGTTTTCAGGGCAAAAAAAAATAACTGCACTGAGACCGCTATTTTTGTGAAGTGAAGTCAAAATGAACAAGCTACAGGTGAGCAACAATGACAGACCTAAAAAGATTTAATGTAGCTGCTGGATGATACATTGTATTATACATTGCAGTCCAAAGGTTGTGATTCTGTATACGCTGGGTTCTGAGCAATTATGTTTTGAATGGGGCTTACACACAACAGGAAGGCTGGAATTGGAGTTAAAGTCTTTCAAGTGACATTGTATTAACAAGACAAAACCTGAAATTTACATGGTGGGGAAAGTTACAGTTAAACTCTAGGTTCCTTAAGGATAATCAAGTTGGCTTTTACAAGAAATTAACATATTTTGATAAGATATGGTTGGGTACTGATAAAAAACTGATTAAAAAAACTATATGTTTCATTGATAGATGAATATACGTATGATAAAGCAGTGAAAACAATGGTAACCTGGGCGCAGGATATTGGACATACCATAGCTTTATATAACTGGGCAAAAAAATGGAAAATGGTAAAGCTCACTAGGGTTACAGCATATAAAGAAAATATATACAAAATGTCCCATAGATGGCATTGGTCCCCGGATAGATTAGCTAAATGCTACCCAGATTTACTGAACAATTGTTGGAAATGTAAGAAAAACGTGGGGACATATTTTCATATGTGGTGGAAGTGTTGGAAAATTCATAAGTACTACTTAGAAATTCAAAGGATAATTCAAGAAATAATAGACATTAAAGTGCCTCTTGAACGAGAGATTTTTTATTGAATATTGTACCAGATGGATATAATAAATTTGATTTATGTATGATAATATATGTTTTAACAACGGCCAGAATCTTGCTTGCAAAGCACTGGAAATTGGACAGAATCCCATCAAAGGAAGAACCAGTTCAGAAACTATTGTATATGCCTGAAATGGACAGATTATCCAGAATACTTCAAGGGAAAGATAAAGAAACTCATGTAAAACTTTGGTCAAGACTGTATAAGTGGATCCAAAAAATTATTGAAACATAAGACTCTCTTGATTATGATTTAATGTAAGCGTATCTTTTGTGTGACAACTTAAAACTATAAATAAAATTTTTTAAAAGAAGCCTTTTGCAAGTGACCAGGAGTAATTTTAAACTTACACACATTTGTTTGGGGAAGGAAGCAACCTCCCTAACTGTAGGAAAGCACCTACCTTATCAGCTATACCAGTGTATGAATAATTGGGTATAATTTGTCACAGTCTCCTGAAAGAAAGAGGCAACTGAAGGCAAAGATTCAAACAGCCCTGAACCCCCCTAGTATCAGCTTTTTCCCTTTGTGTTTGTTTGAAAGAAATAGCAGGTGCCTTTGAAGAGTTGAATTCAGATGAAAACATTCTGTCCAAGTTCAGGGGCAGCAGTTTTGCCCTCCTTGGTGAAGCCATCTATTGGAAGACCTCTAATTTTCCTTAACCAGGCAAGTTTGCACTCTTTTTGTCTGTCTGCTATAACTTTTGTCTGGTTGGCTTGATACTCAAATACCTTAGCTTCTTCATACTGTTTCATTTGCTGTGGTGCCAACAGCCTGAATCCAGCATTAAGTCGATATGGGTTTGGTACGTAGGCATAGACAGATTTTTTTCGTTGTGAGACTGCTTCAACATCAGGTTGGGCAATCTTCATATGTGGTACTTTGAGGGATTCACTGGTGCTTGTAAAGAACCCAATGAGTGGCTGCCCACCTACTGGTGGAGATGGTATCCTGGCATGGCCAGAATGTGACTTTGTCTCTCCTGCCAAGTTACTGCATGACTTGGAATGTGTAATAGAAGGAGCAGGCATGAAGGACTACACATTTTCCCCAAGTAGGGAGTTCTTTAAGTTGAGCTGCAGTGTTTTGATTTCATAGGGGGTGGAAATCCTGTTGATACCAAGAGTGTCACCTGCAGCCTTCAGTTGTTTCAGCTGAGTGGATGGATCCATGTCTTGCAACTTCAGGCTTTTGGGAGCCAGAGTCTTCTTGGGCTGGTCTTTCTGGAGCTGGGTAGGCCCCCAGGCATCTTTGATTTTCATGTTGTATGCCATGTTGGCAGTGACATGGTCAGCTTTGCAGGCATGATGTATTGTGCTGATAGTGAGAAGTACCTGGTCTTTAGATATGGGGCCACAAACAGCCCGCTTTTTCAGGTACTTTAGCAGAGCCTCAGAATTATGGGCAAGAAAAGTGCTAGAAGGGACTGGAGTCTTGTGTCCTGATTCATCATCTGTTCCCAGTAAATAAAAATGGAAGAACAGGCAAGGTTACACCCTTTGGGTGGTTATCACAAGGTAAATGCAGTCCTGTTAAAATAGTCAAAACAGTTCCCTGGCAAAACAAGTACTGCCTCATGTTTTTTTCTTCCCCATATTTTTAGTTAACTATATTTTTATTTAACTAACTTTTAAACTATAATGCTGAAAATAAGAACGGACTAGGAGCTGATACAAACAGCAAAGTCTATAACCACAAAACTATATTTAAAATTAATTCAAATAATGGTAATTTTATATTTTAAAATATAATAAATTAACAAGAAAAAACACAGTAAAAGACACAGAAAAATAGTAAATTTTACTACTTATAAAGGAACAATATTGCTAGAACAGTAGTAAGAACATGACTATTTAGGAATTCCATCTCACCCCAGAAATCAACTTCAAAGTGTGGCAGATACAGTATCACTGAAAGATGTGCTGAAGGATCTGTACTAGCTGCCCATCTGTTTCCAGGCCCAATTTAGAGTGCTGGTTCTTAACCTTGAAGGCCTTAAATGGCTTGAGGCCAGGGTCCTTGAAGAAGTGCCACTTCCTCCCATACTGTCTATCCCCCCAGTTACGATCTGCCTCACAAGATCTGCTCTCTATGGCCCCACCTGCAAGCAGTGAGGGGAGGTAGAAACCAGGGACAGGGCTGTTTCAGTTATGGTACCTGGCTGTTGGAATGCCCATTTGCCTGGTGCCTACCCTGTCACTTTGGCACCAGGCCAAAATGTTTCTTTACCTAGGCTTTTAATTGAAAATTTATCTTACAGTTTTTTAGCTGATAGTTTTATAGCCTACATACTGCTGCTTTTATGACCACTGCTATTTCACAACTTTTTCATGGGGATTCTTTTTTTTTTTTAATTTCAGCTCTACCGAAGCAGAGCCTCCAAAAAATGAAAAATTTAAGCGTGATCCACCTGCGAGGAAATCGGCGAGAAGGCTTGCCGTGAGTTGATCCATTTTTCATGGGGATTCTATCAATAAATTTCATAGTGGGTTTTACTGATGGTTTTTACCAGTTTATGTTAAGCTTGTATTATTTGTTTTTACTTCATAAGCTGTCTTGACTAATTCTTTGGGGAGGTGGCCTATAAATCCTGTTCATTTATTATCTTCTTCTCCAGTATTCTGTAAGAGGGGCCTGAACATGCTAATTCCCCTCCCTCCTTTTCTCTGCTCTGCTCTCAACATTCTGTCACTACCCGAGCACTTTCAATCTTCAACAAGTCAGTTTCTGAGGGGGCCCCCCTCCTTCCTTCCTTCCTTCCTTCCTTCCTTCCTTCCTTCCTTCCTTCCTTCCTTCCTTCCTTCCTTAATTAGTAGGAGTATTTTTCTGCATATGTGAGGAATCATTCTAGTAGCTGGAGACCCCTGCCTTGGGTGGCCTGGGTTTTTTGCTTTCATAATTTGTTCAGAGATCAACCAATTTATTATCAGTTAAAAAGATACCACATGACATACTAGTAAATTTGATTAATGAAAAATAACTATATGCATCCATATCTGATCCACATACCATTCTTTAAAAGTTAATGAAAAGCTTTCAGCATTTCATACATTTTGGGTTTTGCTGTAGTCCATTTCTCAGCTTGATTATTTCATTTAATTTTGACAACTTTGAAATTTGGCAAACTTCATTAATCTGTTCCTTGATTATAGGGATTTTGGAGGAACACAAGTTCCTTACTGTGATTACGTTCACTACATTCAGGTGGGTAGCTGTGTTGCTCTGAAGAGCAGAACAAAGTTTGAGTCCAGTAGTACCTTTCAGACCAACAAAGTTTTATTCTGGGTATAAGCTTTTGAGTGCACACACACCTCTTCAGATACACTGCTACCTATATGAAATGGTTGGTGACTTCTGTTTCAATGTATCTGAAGAAGTGTGCATGCACACAAAAGCTTATACCCAGAATAAAACTTTGTTGGTCTTAAAGGTGCCACTGGACTCAAACGTTGTTATGTTTGCTACTGTCAGTGTTGGATACCTGAATTCAGGAAATTCAGTTGTTTGATAGCCCACTATTATGTCCTGTGATGCTAGTGTACTGTTGAGGTTGTTATGATGCTTATGTACTATTCAGCAGGGCACACTAATGTGAAAAAGATACAAACTCACAAGGAGCTAAGAATGTAGCACACGTCAGTGGAACCCACAGAACAGGGCCAACACCCACCAATCACAGAGAGACAACAGTGCTTCTATGTCAACTACCAGTCAACACATGACAGTGCCAACAGACCTGGCCCCACCCATCCATACAACTAGGGAAGGAACAAACACAATACAGCATGCCACATTCCTGTGGTTTCTGGAGTTGGGGGTTCAAATCCTGACCTGCAAACACATAGAGGAATTTCAGACAGACAATACAATCCGGAAGAGGAACGGTTCCCAAACGGTTTCTGGTCTGTCATTTCAGACAGAACCGTTTTAGAACTGGTTCCCTTCCAGAATATATTTGTAATTTCAGACACAAATGCTTCTGTCCCATTTAGGAAATGGGGCTGAAGCGTTTTACCTGTCAACCGCTTTCAAGTAGTCTTCAGTTTCCTCTCCCGGTTCCAATGCGCTTTTTCCCCGCCGTTTTTCACCCGCGCGGGAGATCTCCGGCTATTTTTTTAACGTTCGCTTTATAGTGCTATAACACTATAACGGAACAGCAGTATATCAATGCCATTGGAATGCCTGGAGTGTTTTGTTATAGTGCTATAGCGCTATAAAGCAAACGTTTAAAAAAAAGGTGGAGATCGCCCGCGCGGGCGAAAAACGGCAAGGAAAAAGCGGTGCAGTCTGAAATGGCAAACTGCTTCAGATCCAGCTCTTTACCGGAAGGGGAAAGCCATGTGTGAAATGGCAGCCCTATACTGGTTTACTCCATGACAGATCAAAAACGGCTTCAAAACGGGTTAAAAAGAGTAATGTGAAATTCCTCATACAGTTCTAACATGTAGACACATAGGGAAGAAAATGTGGCCAGTCCAAACATACCACATAGTGACCTTCACAGCATACTTTGCTGAGGCAACCCCTGTAGAAAGGCTGTAGCCTCCCTCACTTCTGTTATTCTCCAGAATTTGTAAAACAGCACTGTTCAGGAGGGCATTTTCATAAAGGGAATAGAGATGTAGTAAAAAGGAATTCTGCAAGAAGAGTACTTTCTCCTTCAGTGGGGGAAGTCATCCAAACTGGTTAGGTCACGCCACCTTTTGCTCCAGGCAGGGCTATGCAAATTTGTGTAGACTGTATTGGCTCTGAGTGATGCTGACCCTCCAGTTTCAATAGCCCTGCCTCTCCAGCAGGACGCTTGAGCCTAGCTCTGCTTTCTTGGAGGCTCTTGCCTTATATGGAAGATGGAAAAGCCTTGAAGAAAGGCCCCATCATTGGTCTTAAAAGAAGAAAAAAGAGACCTTTAAGACAAGCCTCTCCCGCCTGAGGTCCCGGGCACCAGAGCCTGGCCAATGGCAGAAATATCTACAATGCCACAGACTGCCCTCAGTGAGAGACTGTTGTGGCAGGTCTCTCCCACCTGAGGATTCAGGCATTGGAGACGGGCGCGGGCCTCTGTCGGTGCTGCCAGACCCGAGGCTTCGGGTTGTTTCTGCATCCGGCCCCCAACTGTAATGGAAAAATCCAGCAGAGCTCTACAGGGTCTGAATGAAGAGCTGGTCTCTTGGGGTCTCTTACCCTGTAAGTATGGAAGATGGAAGGGCCTTGAGACAGGACCCCATGGCCGGTCTTAGACAGAAGAGGAAGACCATTGTAGCAAGCCTCTCCTGCCTGAGGATTCAGGCCTTTACAATGGACTCTTCTCCCTTGTCAGAAGGACACACACAAAAGGGAGCACTGATGTCAAGATACTGATCCCCCCACACACACACACACAAAGAAGTCACTAAACTAGTGGTCTTCACGACCAAATCTCACAAGAGGAGTCAGTTTCCTCCAGCCTCCTTACCTGATGGCAGTTATGGCCACCAGCAGCAGTGGCCGAGGAACACAATACAAGGATCAGATTGTCCAAGGCAGATGGAGCCCATTGGAAGATATGAACAGTATGGACTGACTGGAACTTGTGGCAGTCAGACTAGCACTGTGTGCTTTCCAAATCCTATTGAGGAATAAGTATGTGCTAGGGCATACAGTCAATACTATGGCCAAGGCGCACAGCAATTGGCAAGGAGGCACCAGATTGATGGTGCTCTTCCATGAGTCCAAAATCCTGTTTGTTTGGGCGGGGGGGGGGAATGGTAGGTATAAAAGCGGAACACCTTTACGGTCTTGCAAACTGCCAAGCCAACTGGCTGAGAAGGAAGGAGTTAGATCCAGGAGAATTGAGTCTACACAAAAAGATCTTCTAGCAAAATCACACTTTGTTTCAGGAGCCCTATCATGGATCCTTTTTGCAACATCAAACTATAACCAAGTTGCCAGGCTTCTAATCATTTTTTGTGATTCCAGGGCAGAGGGCAAGGGCATACACACTTCTTGTTGATGCAGTGGTCTGCTGCACACTTTTCCTCTGACCACATTGATCAGCTGAGGCCTGAACAAAGTGTCAAAGGAGACAACAGAGGTGATTTTCTTATCTCCTTTCTGGCACAGTAGTTTTTGGGTCTCAAAGCTAGTGAAGATGTCAGTGTCTCCACCGTGGAGATTGCCAAGTGATGGGTTCTCCAGTACGAAAGAGCTGAATCCACTGAAACTTACGAAGACATCATTCCCTTTCTACACCAAGGTTTGGAATCAGGTTCTAAGACCAGACACCTTAAGAGACAGGTTGCAGCACTGGCCTCTATGTGGGACTGCATAAGGCTGCCTAATTTTTCTTCTCATAGGCAATTTAAGCTTCCCTGAAAGGAACCATACAGTTGGAACCTGTCTAAAAGTGTTACAAGCCTTGAGCAATCCTCCATTTGATCCTTTCAAATCATCAGAATCTAAAGTCTCCTTTTCAAAAGACTTCTTTTTTCTTGCAGAAGGATTTCTGAATGAGGGGCTTTATTGGCTGGGACGGAATTGTGTATATTTCACAGGATCTCGGTGGTACTCAGGAGGGATCCTTCCTTTGTGCCAAAAGTTTTTTTCCCTTATCACGTTAACCAAGAGTTGATACTACCATCTTTTTGTCCCAACGAGACAGTCTGGCACAAACTAGACTTTAGGTAAAAAGGTCTCAAGCCATGTATCTGAGAGACATATGAAATGCAAGGCCTAGGACCTCCAAAGGATGTTACGGCCCACTACACCAGATCTGCAGTAACATAGTGACCTTTTCCACCAGTGTTCTAGTGGAAGAAATCATTAGAGTCGCATCTTGGTCCACCTTTTATACCTGTGTGAGACACTATAGGTGGGACCAGTTAAAATCAACAGAGGTTTCATCTGGTAGAAAGGTGTGCAGCATAGTGATAGAACAGATAAAAATAAGAATGAGGATCCCACCCAGGTTGTGGCTTGGGCATATAACCAGTTTGGATTACTTCCCCCACTGAAGGAGAACGAAACATTGGAACTTACCTGAAGGTTTCTTCTCTTTGGTGGGGCGAAGTCATCCACAACCCTCCCAAAATAAAATAAAACAGAATAAAATCAAGTCGGATGTAAAATCTGTTATGGAGCTGGGCTATACTAAGACTGGAGGGTGAGCCTCACTCTGAGCCAATACAGTCTACACAAATTTGCATAGCCCTGCCAGGAGCGAGAGGAGTCGTGACCTAACCCAGTATGGATGACTTCGCCCCACTGAAGAGAAGAAACCTTCAGGTAAATTCCAATGTTTCGTTCTATTTTGGTAATATGTTTTTAATTTAATTTCCTGTGACATTTTTAAAGTAACTTTCCCCACTTCTTTCCATTTTATGCTGCACTGTTTTTAGGATGTATTACTCTGCCTGAACTTCACTGTTTGCTAATTGTGAAATCTCATTCATTGGCATGCCAACAGTTCTCCAAATGGGAAACCCAGTTTCTGTGATGTAGGGTTTTTCCACATGAGTTCAGTGCTGTTGGGAAGTAGCTTTTTCATACTTCTCACAGCATTGTGTTGGATTCCTGCACCTTCTGGGGTTTCCCTAGCTTTTCTCTAATCTCTCCCAAACCTGCTTTGCTCTCAAGTTCTGGGAAAGGTTGCAGCAAGGCCTGAGTCTCTGCCTTTTGGATGGGAAAATCTGGATTTTTGGGGGTCCCACCCACACAACAGCCACACACACCCAGCCATTTCCACCATCTGTCAGTGGGGTGGTTTTTTCTAAAAAATGCCAGTTGGATAATGTTATATCTCTATACTGTTATACCAATATGTGTATCTGGTTCTGTGAATTTTTAGCTTTAATTTTTTTTAAAGAAAGCCTCTATCATCTTTCGTTGTGAAGATATAAAGGCATATCTCTGCAAGCAAAGGGGCTAGAGACTTACTTCTACCTCTCTGATAAGTATTCAGAGTATCTGATACATATATTGGTATAATGGTAAAAAGCTATAGCATTATTCAATTGCTAATAATAATTTCAAAAAAACACTATCAGGGAAATCTTCTCTGTAGTTGTTTGTTTCAATATACCAACGCTTCTTACCAGAACAGCCTTTCAGAGTTGAAACAGATTGAGAATCCTTTAAGTCATTCTTCTGCTTCTCTGTCTTGGCATGATAAAAGAGCCTCTTTCTCTCTGTTTGTGGAATTTCCTGGGATCCTATATTCCTAGTCCTGGACTGAGGTACCTTCACCATTTCATAACAAAGGTCTGGAAGAAAAAATAATAGTCTAAGCTGCAACCCAAAAGCATTCTTATATCTATTGAGCACCTGAGTAAAAAGACATTGATTAGGCTGTACAGCTACAGTCTTCAAATGACCTAATGCCATAGTTGTACTGTATAGCTCAACAGGCGAATGCTGTAGTAAATATAATTATATCAGTTCTGTTTCAGCTTCAAATACTCCACATTTTTCTGTAATATACCTCTGATGGCTGTTTCGTTTCTTCATCAAAGTCCTGCTGACTTAAAATGCTGAACTTGTTTGTCCAACTAGTTATACCTGAAAATGTTCTAAAGAAATAACCTAGATGTTATGGTGCAAATTGTTCTTATCTACAAAGCGTTATCCGATGGCATAGTGCATTAAATGAGGGAGTCCAGTGGATTTTATCCACTGATCTGTTGGGAGAAGGTGCTGGTGGATACGGATTTTTGCTGCATCCCCCCCACCCCACAGCCATACCTTCTGACTTCAGGAAAGCTGATTTCTGACATCATGGTACTCATGTAAGCTAATACCCCTATGGTTTGGGGAGGCTGCATTGAGAAGGGGGAAGGGGACAAAACTGACCCTCTTCCCTCTCTGATAAGGATTTAGAGGACATTAGAAATGCACTTAATTTCTATCATGAAAGTATAACAAACTTATTATCCCATCAGTGGCGGAAGAATTCCCTTTAAAATAGGCACATGGAAATGAAGAGTCTCTTTGCCTGTTACAGCGCAATGAATTAGATACTGAACTAGGGGCTATATTGAGATGCCGATAAATGGTCCAAAATTTGGGAAACAAATATGAAGACCACTAGGGCAACTCTGACTGCAGAGAATTCAGAAGTTTGTTTATTCCAGTTGTGAAGTAGAAACTTTGTATCCCAACCAAAGATCACTCGTTATCTTTTAATATTTTTATTTTTTATATTTAAAATCAGTCTAACCACTCCTGAAATGATTAAATATAAAAGAATCACAATGACACAAAAAACCTGTATATGTAAATGAAATCAGAAACAGACAGAAAGATATCATCCCTTATCCTAGCTTATCATAATATAAAAAGATAGAATACAATTTCTGAGATTCTCACCAAAACATTAAACAGTTTAACTACAACCTTCATTTGAGAGATTCAAGGGTGTTTGGGGTGTGGTTACATGAAATTCACATAACTATCAAAATCAGTTAATTCATCTTGCGAAATATATAGTATAAGCATGTCTGATCTTAGAATTAACTTTTGCATAGAAATGTTGCAAACCAACAATCTGTTCTTCACTAAGTAAAATTTATTTCTGTGCAAGCATCCAATGGTTCACCATTATCTTTCTAAGAATGTTAATAGTAAGAACTTTGCTGAAACGGTAAAGTAAATTCTCAGGCCTGCTTTGTTCAAACACTGATAATCAGGGTCTACGGCCAAAGAATTCTAGTATGTATTTTATTTTTTCAAGATGCAAGAGATGTTGAGAATTAAAAACAAATTGTGATAAAGGCAGATGATGAAAAATTATGTACTATGTACTGAGCCAGGACAGTACCAGGAAACTGATGAAGCTGGAGTCACCAGAACAATGGGTAGCCAGGATCCTGGAAGGAACCTATAGATTAGGAGTTGTACTGTAAATAGCCTATCACAGGGAGTGAGTGTGTGTGTGTGGGGGGGTGTTTTGCATGCATATAAGCAGGGCCCCTGCCCTCCTTGAGTTGTCTTAGAGTTAAACTGAAATCACTAATAAACTATGAGCTGATCACTATACGGCTGAGTTCAGACTGGCAGTTTGAAGCAGGAGGGAGTCGTGGCAAAAAAAGACCTGGATTTTCTCGGTCACACTGCACCCACTGATACGGAAGCATACTGGGGAAAAGGCACAAGGGAGCATTCACACTGTTGGCCCGCCCCTGGCGGAGGCATGGCTGTAAGGCGTGGCTTTCTTTTTGGTAATCTGCGCCCAAGAAAAACGCAGCTTTTGGCATTCACACTTTATTGGTGCAGGATGGGCACGGGATAATTGCACTTTCCAGGGTTTAATACCACTTTCACCTGGTATCTTTTAAACGCGGGAGGGAAGCGTTACAAGATGGGTTGAGTATGGCTGGGGAACGCCAGACAGATGTGCCTGTGTGAACGGCCCCTTTAATCCGTTTGTGAAACATTTCTGAAATGTGCCTATATTGGGGCAAACTGCCAGTCTGAACTCGGCCTACGTGTCTCGAACCCAGTATATTGCATTATGACGAAAACCATATTGACTATATTAAAAAAACCAGGGCTTTTAAAAATCTCGGATTGAACATATATGACTGCCACATAGTGAGTCAGACTATTGGTCTCTCTGGGTCAGCGCTGTCTACTCTGACTAGCAGTGACTGTCCAGAGTCTCAGGCAGAAGTCTTTCGCATCACCTACTACCCAATTCTTTTTGTTGGTGATGCCAGGGGTTGAAGCTGAGGCCTTCTGCATGCAAAGCAGATGTTCTTCTATTGAGCCACAGCTTCTGATTGCTACTTAATCAAGAAGGATCAAGTGTCAAACATTTAATTAGAGAATTTGGGTATATCTGATATGCTTTCCAAAATAGATGAATTTAGCATACCTGGGTATGGCACTCTCAATGAAAAAATATACTGCTGTGCAGAAATCGTCATCAATTGCCTAGAGTGGAAATGGTGGAATACTCACAATGATTCCTATATTTTATTGAGTGCCAAGACACAGATCGAATGCAGTCCCCTATCAGAACAGAAGTTTAATAACACGAATCTGAAGAAAAGATCTCCCACTACTGATATACTAGAATATGCCATTAAAAAAAACATGCTTCAAAGTGTCACAACAAGCCTTCGTCAAACTTCAAGGATTTAAGCTTAGTGGGGCTTAGCAGTACCTGGAATGCCACTGTGGCTTCCTGTGGGCTTACGAGCGATACAGTAAGAAAGCATTGTCTCCTCAGGCCTGTAAAGCTTCCAGTTCTTCTTTTTGGCTTGTTTCTTCCACTCTGGGAGTGAATGTGGAGATGGCTTTATTCTGAGTGGTGCATCATCAATTTTGCTCTTATCTTTCTTTTTAATTACTCGGTCGGTACCCAGTGTATAGTCCCATTCCACCTTCTCAAACTGTAACAAAACAACAGTGCCTTGTGCATTGATCAGTAATCTAGAAAAGAGAGAGTAATCATAACTCAGGCCACCAGAGGTAAAAGATGCACAGTATTAGTAGCTCTGTGGTGTTGCATTAGATCAGGCATTAAAACTGCTACTTTGTGAGGAGGGGATAGTAGCAAAGGGTTACTTTGCTGCCACTCTGCTTTTCACTGCAAGTAATGATCAAATACTTTAATTTAGGTAACCTAAGACCATTAATTGCTTCTGATAATGTGCTATCAAAATTACAATATGGATCACAATGTGTGGCAAAGGGGATTATGGTAAGAATAACAATGTTGCTGGAATTGGGAAGTTATTTATTTATTTATTTATTTATTTCAGCTTGTATTCCACCTTCCCTGCAAGCAGGCTCAGAGCGGATTACAACAGCAAACCTACAGTAGGAATTTAAAACATTTCACAGTAGGAGTTAAAACATTTCACAGAAAATATTCACAGTAAATATTCCAGAATAAATGATAATAAGTAAATATCCCAGGATAAAGAGTTAAAACAGATTAAAACAGAGCTATAAACTAACACAGATGGCACTGCAGTTTGGCATAGTAATGAGAGATGCTTGAAGAAGCTGTCAATATTGTTAAAGGAAGAGGGATGGATATTTTTATTTTGCATTTTCCATACGTGTGTGTATGAGAATGTGTGTGCGCCTGGAAGTCATGGCAACCTCTGGTGACTGACCCTTACTGGCGGCTTGGAGGATACTCAGAGAGGAAGCTGAATAAGCCTGTTCTCGCCTCCTGCCTCTGGTATTTCAAGGAGGTCTCCCATCCATGTATTTGCCAAAATCAGCTCTGCTTAGCTTCTGAGATCTGATGAGATTGGGCTTGCCTGGGCTATCCAGGGCAGGGCAGGGCAGGGGGTTGATATTTTTAATACTTAGCATAGCTGTCCATGAGACTTATCAGATAAGGGGGTGATCAACAGAGGTCATTTCGGGGGGGGTCACGGGTGAGGTGCGGGGGGCGGGGCACATGATGAAGCCCCGCCCCCTGCTTCCGGCCGCCCCGCTTCCGGCCCTCATTCAGCCAGGAGGAGGTAGGAGAAGAGGGAGGGTAAGTTGCTTCCTCCCCGCCTCTACCCACCCCTGCCTGCCTGCCTGGAGCCAGGGAGGGCCTTGGCAGGGCTTCCTCGCACTCCCGCCGGCCTTGCAGGTCCACCGCTAGGCCCCTGATGTCAGGGGGTGTGGCATATGCTAATGAGTTATGCTAATGAGTTCCCCTAGCTCTTTTTCTACAAAACGACCCCTGGTGATCAACCTTTTAAAAAATTGAAGTGAAGAAGCTCTCAAGAACTTCATAGAGGAAAAAGTCTAAGGCCTTTAAATTCTGAAGGCAAAGATATGCAAAACCCCACTAAAATATCAATACTCTTTGCAAAATCCTTCTGAAATTCCCCAGTTTTCTCCAGGTAAGAAAATGAAAAATTGCCAATGATGTGACATGAGAGAATGACTTCATATAGACAGCTGGAAACCATGGTTTTTAAAAACTGTTTAGTTTGTGAAACCATGATTCAGCTAACAGATAATCATTCAAATCCTGGTTTGCACTGACAAACTTGGATTTTATCACCTTTGCTCTTTCCTCCATTTCCCCTGCAGAGACATAGCTGAGATCCCAGCCTGCATTAGGGCACGGATGGTGCTAGAGAACAAATCGGGATATCTGCATTCATACATCATGTGAAACTACAGTTAAGATTAACTGTGCTTAAACCAAATTCAGACCACGGTTTCAGTGGATTACACCTTTAGACATTCACACCTGAGCTGAGCCTAAAATGTGTTGGCTTCAGTGTGCATTTCTTTGCAGGTGGGAGGGACAGCTAGAAGAGTTGACAGGCTCTTTCCTTTTGTTTATCAAACTGAAGTGTAAATAGTACTGTGAGAGGGTAGGCAGTATCTCCCCTCCCTGGCTATGCTAAGCAGTTAAAGGATCTCCTTGCCCAGTGACCTTGGAAGTGGGAGAACGGGGGTTAACAGTCACACACATTCTTCTCTTCTCCCCTGGGCTTTACTCCTTCCAGCATCAGGAGTTAGTCCAACATGTTCTCATCATCCAGTTTCCAACCCCCTTTTAATTTCAGTTCCATTACCTGCACTGCCCTTGCCCAACCCCTGCCCTCTCAGAATTGAACCTCGTCCATAAGATGTTGGAGCTAATTGCCTTCACCTTCCCTGGGACATTCCCTCTTAAAGTACCACTCTGGCACTGCATGGGCTGTAGGTGGTCATGCCTGGCATACCAGAGATTTTTCTGGCACCAAACAGCTCATCTCCCTCTTCACCCTTTCTTGGTCCCATTGGGCCTTATGTGAGGATTTAAATGGCCACTCTGGCCCAGCAACAGGCTAGCACCTAGAAGACAGCTGGTGCCACTGCTACATTCCCACCTGATTCACCTTCCTGTCATCAGAGCAATGGTCAAGTGACTAATTGTTAAACTAATTGTCAATACATCATTAATCCTTAGCAGAAGAAAAACCCATACATTTCATCAAGAATTCTGGTTATGCATGCATATGGTTCCACTGCATATTTCTCATTTAAAATACTGCTAGTTATCCTGTCTAGAATACCACAAGCCTTTCCCCATATCTTTTTGAAATGTATATGATACCCCATATTGATGATGAAGAAGAAGTGTAGTGTACTGGTTGCAACTTACCTGTTTTCAACAATACAGAAGGACACCACAGGGTCACCTCTGCTATTGGCTCTTATAACCCTCAGACAGGCTCCAGTAAGGAAGTTAAATATGCGTATCTTCCCATCAGCACAGCCACTGATGACTCTGAGATAGAGAAATCCCAGATAAAGCACCTCCCTACAAACAAGGGAAGTGGTTTAAGCATAATTCTTGTCCTTGCAGAATGTTATTGAGACAATGAAACCTAAATAGTCCTCTGACAGAAACAAGCGTGACTCAAAAAAAAAAAATCAATTTTTGTCACCAGTACCACTTTTTCTATTTCTTTGTATACAACATCTGGAAAACCAAGGAAGCACTCACTCTCCTACAATGTGGGGTCCCTGAGAAGGTTAGGGTGGCACCCTCTTTAGAAGTTCTTAGGAGGGGCTATAAGAGTGTTATATTTCCAAGGGCTTTTAATGGGCCTAAGCTGTAGGAATTTTCTGAAGGATTTCTGAAAAATTCCAGATCCCAACACCGGTACAGTATTCTGATGTGGGATTTTACAGAAATCCCAATTTTTTTCAGGTCCAGTAGACCCGAAATTTCACACCCAAAGCTCTGCCAGTGGGGAGCAATCTGCAAAATTCAGCTACAGGAGTGGATGTCTGAAGACAGGTTCACTTTTTGAATAAAGCGAAAGACTCCTGGTCTTAGCTGTGTTCAACAGAACCTGAGAAAGAGTTCCATCTAAGAATTCAAAGTACAATTCTGATATAAGAAGGATTAAAACAGTAATAACATGGGAATAGTCTAGAGTCAGCTAAAGCTGAAGTACGTTTGCACACAGATGCCAAGAACTGAGGTTTGAGATCTTGGTAAAGAGTGACTGGGTAGTAGGCTGAAGCTCCCAATTAGGCCAAAAGGAATAGGATTGTATTTTCAGGGAAGAAATAAAAGTCCTGTCCAGTTATACAGGGACTTGGCACTGAGACAGTCCCTGGTCTGTTGTGAAAGGAAATGGTTATAGACTACACAGGGGAAAGAAGACATGCTGTGATTTCAAAAAAGGGGGAAGAATTTGATATACTAAAAGAGTGACCTTTCCAGAAATCCTGAACAGTTATTAGGAAACTATATGCAGAAACATTGTAACTGAAACTAAAATACTTAGTCAACCATCTCTCACTGATGATCCAAAAATTTGTGAAAAAGCTGCTACAATGCCATCTTGTCTGTCAACTGAAATATAAACTGTTTTAGCGTTTACCTCAGCCTTTTCAATTCCTAACTACCCCATACTATCCCTGCCTATTAAATAAAATCTTCATTATTGTTCACTGTTATGCAGTCTCCAGTGCCATTTCAGGGGATCTAAAAAGAGGACTTCTGTTTTCTCCTGACAAGTTCCTGGGCTGGGCAAAAACCAAATCAGATTCTGTCACAGAGTGGGACATTTAGATTTAAAAGGCCACAAATATCATCACACTACTGGGGGCCAGCTCAGTAGCTGAAGGGAACTAAGAATTTTGGTGAGAAAAATCTGTCTCAGAGTGGGGAGAGTAACAGGGGGTCCATCAAACCCTATTTAAACAGGGCTGCAAGAGAAGCCAGCCTGAAGCTGTGCTGGTGGGGAGCGGACCACTCCTCACCAGCACAGCTGATCCTCGGACTAATTTCTCCTGCAACCCTGTTCAAACGGGGCTGCATGAGAAACCAGCCCGAAGCTGAGCCAGCAAGGAGCGGACCACTCCCCACCAGCACAGCAGATCCTTGAGCTGGCTTCTCATATGGTCCCATTTAAATGGGGCCACACGAGAAGCCAGCCCAAAGCTGTGCTGGTGGGGAGCAGTCTGCTCTGCTCCCTGCCAGTTCAGCTAATCCTCAGGCTATCTTCTGCAGTTCCTTTGAACTTTAAAGGGACTGCAGTAGAAGCCCGACAAACAGCTGAGATGCAGGAGCAATCTGCTCCCGCCTCTCAGCTGTTTTTCTGATCTACCTGGTATTCTTGAACATATCCGGGATTTTTTCGGGATTTTTTTTATTTTCCAAAAAAATCCTGGATACCTTTGGGATGCCAAAATATACCCCCCAAAATATTAATAAGGTATTTTCTATGTATATTTTCAGCTCAGGTAGATCCAAACACACAACCCTAGAAACCACTACGCTACTCCGGTACTCCTATAGAAGACAGATTATTAAATTCTCGTATTCTACAAGCAGCAGAACACAGGTCTTTTCAGCAAAGCTTGTAACATATGTTCTTTTCACCTTTTTTGTTTTGTATCAAATATTCAGGCTGATGTAGAGTTCTAGGGAACTCAAAAGTTTGCTCACTGTTTGGTGTCATTTGGTTGCCCCAGTTAAAGATATTACACTATTTCTGCTTCGGGCTGATTCATACACGCAGTTGCCACAAAGACTTTGGATCAGATGTGCACCTGACATTTTGAACTGGGTGTCAACTTTGCCCCTTTCTTGGACTTGGTTGCCATGGGGATGTGGGGGATGAGAAGAATGTATACTTTCATTTCTATCTGCTCTGCTGTTATCTTTCTCCGCTCAGACATGTAACGTTGAGCCCCAGTCATGACTGGTATCCTCTTTCCCCTGGGAACTATAGGCCGTTATTTAGGTGGGCCTTTAGCTTAGGTACAATTGGCCCCGGGCCATTAGGGTCCTGCTTAATTTAGGTATAATTGCTTGCTTCACACATTTCCCCCCAGTTCTAACACAGAAATGTTAAGAGCCTGGATCCTATCAATGTCTCAATAAACTTTTTATTCCTTTGTATGACTGTTGTTGGGAACTGATTTCTCCAGGGGTCTGACACTGGGAACTCAATTCCCAGGCATGTGGGAATCTGATGAAGATTGGGACCATGGCAGATGTGAAGAAAGGTCTTCAGCCTTGTGCCCCCATCCTCCCAAGCTGCAATGGCCCAATTGAACCACTATTTGTAGTAATCAGTACATGTAGATTTCACCAATGGGCAAAGATTGTCCAGGGAACCTGAAGCCAGAAAAACTATTGGGGGGGGGGGAATCTGGTGTAGTGATTAGGAGCGCAGGCTCTAATCTGGGAGAACCAGATTTGATTCTCCACTCCTTCACATGCAGCTGCTGATGTGACCTTGGGTCAGATACAAGTTCTTTCAGAGCTGTTCTCAAAAAAGCAGTTCTCGTACGAGCTCTCTCCGTCCCACCTACCTCACAGGGTGTCTGTTGTGGGGAGGGGAAGGGAAAGGAGATTGTAAGCCACCCTGAGACTCCTTCGGGTAATGAAGGGTGGGGTATAAATCCATTTTTTATTATTATTATTATTATTATTATTATTATTATTATTATTCAAGCCCCCCTATTTTTGCATGGCATGTATGCATTTGTGACTGGAAATTCTTTTGTTAGGATGGGGGTAGGTAAGATGAGTTAGGATCTTTTGTTCAGGATGGTCATTTGATGTTCCATCAGCAGGACCTAATGATAGGAGGTGGTCTTCTGGTAACTGGATATCTCCCCCCACCCTGCAGGCTTGGAGAAGGTGAGAAGACAGGGGTACTGCAGAAAGAGAACATGGCACTTTGAGAAAACAATGTTAGAAAGTAGATAATGAGAGAGAGGTGTGTTTGTTTAGTTATTCCATGTCTCTCTAGAACAAATCTTTGTGTGGTGCCTAAACAGCTAGCTAATGGTAAAGCATAGTTGGTCACACACCCTGTCTTTTGGGATGTGATATAAGACAATGGTTTTGCATTCTTGCATTTATTTAGTAGGAGGGAAAGTGGCATGGTACAGCTTGATCTCATCAGATCTCAGATGCTAAACAGGGTCAGTACTTGGAAGGGAGACTACTAAGAAAGACTCTGCAATGGCAAACCATCCCTGCTTCTCACTTGCCTTGGAAGATCTGAACAACTTTATGTCTCTCTCCTCCTTGCAGACTCTTCCCAGGTGTGTGGGATATGCAAGTGGCTGATTGTGTCCCAATAACTTTGCCTGTCTGTTGGAGGAGACTTCTCTATCCCCCTTCTTAATCTGTGCTCATTGTTTTGTGCTTGTCACACTGCATGTGTTCTCTTTATTATTGACTCTCAGGAGCTGATTTTGTACTGAAATAAAATCGAACTTGAATTAGGTGAAGGGAGACAGAGGTGAGTGAGAAAAATGTGGAAAAGAGAGAGAGAGATTAAGAAAGTTAAAGGTTGTTTTATCTTGCTGCAATACCCTAATTACTGCTTTGCAGGATCTGGCTGAGCTGGGTGCAAGAAGAGGAAGACAGAAAGGCTAAAATCTTGGAGAAAATGACCTGTGGGCTGGCAATTACTGTAGCAGCTATCAGCGTACTGGCTTGGTTGTACAATCTGTTAAGCAAGTTTGCTTCAGTCTTGGAGAAAGGAAAGTCTAGCCGATCCTAGAGTGCTTTTTCCTATGCTCAGACTTCCCTGTGCCCCTAGTGGCTGCAGACAGAACTGCATTTTTTAAAAATAAAAGGAGACATTTGGATGGAAGCAGTATGACGCTAGCTTCAAGGACCCTCCTTCAAGGGTCTGCCTTTAGCTGCACCTGGGGCAGAGTGCATGTCATACCCCACCCTTGGTATGCCACTGCATCCAATTACATGGGTCCAACATTGCAGCCCTAAAGAAAGAGCTTGATATTTTAAAATGTTTAAATATTGTTTCATATATATAATATTGAAAAGAAAGTAGTTCATATTTTTATCAGTCTCAACACTTACTAGCCCTTCCTTGCTACCAGCTACCTCACCTCTACCCCCAAAAAAACATACTATGAGAACAATGGCTAAGTTCTAATAGGGTTGCCAAGTCTGGCAAACTCACCGGCGGGGGAGGCTCCTCCGGCTCTGGGAGCCGGCTCTGGATGCGTGCGCGCGCGCGCCGCCAGCACATCAACGGAAGTGACGTGCAACGTCACTCACATTGGGGGTGTGGCCCAGATTGACGAAGGGAAAACCATATGGTTTCCCCCTGATGATCTGGGCCACGCCCCCAACGTGAGCGATGTGGCTGCGTCACCTCCAGTGACGCAGCCTTGGGGGGCAGAGTTCCCCCCGGGGCCCGATTCCGCCGCGGCAGAAATCAGGCCTTCAAAGCGGGGTTTCCCCGCCCCCCGCCCACACTTGGCAGCCCTAAGTTCTAATGAAGTGGTAAATCTGCTCAACTATATTACTTTAAAGAACTTTTGAAAGTGAGGCAGTCCATATTTTAACTTGCAGGGATACAAAATTGATCTGTTCTACAATAAGAACATCAAATCTTTTAAGATGTATGGCTCTATATTTTTACTGTATTGGAGTTGGCAGATTAAAAGGGGAGAGATACATCTTGAATGGTACAAAAACAGAAAACACGCTTATGCTGAGTGGAAGGGATTTAAGTTTTCAAATTGGTGATTGTTCTTTGTAGACAGTATCTTGAATGCATTACGACATCAATATATATTACTGATTAAGAACATTAGAAGACACTGAGGAAATTATTATCTATAGGCCTTACAGTTCAATAAAAATACCTACATGGGGTGTCGGAAGGCCATCAGACATCTTTTGTGTTTTCCTACCATGCTCCATCCCAGGACATAGCCATCATTACTTCCAGTCACAAGATGCCAGCTATCAAATGACAGACACCTCACAGGGCCTAGGTGTCCTTCTAAAGTCTGGGTGGGGGGGAAGAAATGGTCATTTCGTTTGCTGTTTAGGTGCTTCCAGACACCACAGTATTAAGCTAGGTTGCACACTTCATCATTGTGGTTAAAATTTCAAAAATAAAGGATGCTATGATGTCTAAAATAAGGACTATATTAGGTAGAAGTGCCCTGCTTGCAGATCTTCTGCAGGCATCTGGTTGGCCACTGTGTGAAACAGAATACTGTACTAGATGGACCATTGATCTTATCAATCAGGACTGTTTTTATGTTACATATAAAATATGGAGACAACAGTCAGTTCTGCATTTTTCAGCATCTCAGAGGTCAGGAATTAGGGACAGAGCAAGTACACGTCACTATAACAATCCAAGAACATAACAGCTTGGTCCAGTTGTGACCTTTTCAAGAGAATGTCTCAGCAGCCAGTCAATGCAGCTTGGAATCAACAAATTCACACCTTAATATCTCCTTCTCATTCTACTGCTTTTCATTTGTGTTCTCCTCAGAGTCGTTGTCTATCTAATCTAATCTAAACTAGACATAAGAACAAGATTTGCTGAAAAATAATCAGCATGGTTTTTACAAAGAGGAGTTTTGCCTCACCAGAATTCTTGGAAAGTATCATCAACACTGTAGATAGAGGTGATTAAGTTGACATTATATATGGATTAAAAAACTTTTGACAAAGTCTCTCCCCAAAGATTCCAATAAACAAAACTTGAGGCCAGTTCTCATTTTTAGCTGTTAACAAATGATCAGTTGACTACTGGAATTTTGTGGGTTCCCTTCCACTGACTATCCCTACAGTCAGCAAATGCTGAAAAAGTTTGATGCTCTCCCTAACTTCTTTCTTTCAACAAGGGGAGATCCCAATCATCTTCAGTAAGAGCAGTTCTTTGCCACAAGGAAGGAGGAAAAGTTGCACAGGCTCTTGTTTTCTCCAACCTTCCCTGTTGCTCTGGTCCAGCAAAGCAATTCTTATGCAAGTGTGCCAAATTTTCCTCACACAAGTCAAAGTTTGCAAGGCGACTATTAGGCCTTTACCAATGGCTTTGATTTTGTTCAGTGCAAATGCTCCAACAAATCCTGCCCCCAATGGACTTCTGGGAACAACCTGGGGATCTTTGGGGGAGGCAAAATTGACCAAAAAGACCCCTTATTTCTGCTGGTTTTCCCCCCAACGATCTGGGCCACGCCCCCAACGTGCTCTACGTTCTGCGTCACCTCTGGTGACGCAGCTGCAGGGGGCGGGGGGCCGGGCTTCCAAAGCGGGGGTTTCCCCACCCCCTGCCCCCACTTGGCAGCCCTACGGCAGGGGGATAGAAGTGCAAGAGCCCCTGTAAGAACCTCTTCAACATTGGATGTGAAAAGATAGAGAAACCATCTACTCTATTGTAGAATGCAGAAATGGCTGCCAAATAGACTTTAATAGAAGATTGGCAATGGCCCTGATCAGCGAGCGAAAGTAGGAAGTCCAGGATTTTGTCAAGACCCACGGATGTCGGTGAAGTGGTCGAAGTTTGTGAGGACACAAAACGAACCCACTTCCTCTGGTAGGAATGATGAGTAGATGCCTTTCTTGCATTCAACAGAACCTCCGAGACTCTAGCAGAGAAGGTCATCGGCCTATTCTCCAGGCTGTCAGCTTCAGGTTTTCCACTCCCAGGTAGAGCAGCATCCCACCCTCTGCCAGAAGCAGATCTGGTGTGTTGGGGAAATGGTAGTGCCATCCCCTGGAGAGGCTGAGAAGGATGGTGAAACACGGTTGCCTGGGCCACCATGGGGCCACTAAAATGCAATTCGGTGTGACCCCGACCAGCTTCTGAACCACTCTTAGCAGGAGGGGGGGGAGAGGGAAACATGTAGAGCAGTGTCTGTCCCCAGGGGTACAGGATGCCAATCTCCCAAGGAGAGAGGGTCCGCTCCCCCTTGACTACAGAAGAACGAAGAAACTGAAAGAACAAAGAGAAAAGAGACGAATCCTGACGTGAGGAAGAGATGAAGATCACCGACCGACAGAGTAGCTGCTAACAGCGCGACAGTCAGAGAAGAACTGGCGGGATGTCCGCGCTCCACCCTCCTGGGCATGCGCAGTTGGGGTTCCCATGCAGACTCAGGGTGGAGGCACGAAAAATCCTGTTGTGAGCTTTGTACAACACCGATCAGATCAGCGCAGGCACACTGGATCCCATAGGTGTGATGCACAGAGACCACGAAGAAGATTATGTACTTTTCCAGGAATCATAATGGAAGACTTTAAGGATTTGATTAAGCATAATTAGAAATTATAAAATTAAAAAAGACTGGAAGCAAAGGTTTAAGATGAAAATTGTTTTGTAACAGCTACTATATAAGCCTGATGGAAACCTTTTCCCATATGTCTTATCCCATTCCCCTTGTCCTCCTCTTCCTAAATGGCCTATATATCAGGGAAAATATATATTTTAAAAAGTATTCCTAAAAAGCTTATATGCTACTATCAAGAGGATAATGGTATTGTACTGAATGGGGGCTTCCCCCACCAAAACTGACACAGTTACATAAAAGCCATACCTTGATCAGTATGCATGTTTCAACATGCCATACTTTCACCAGGCCTCTGTCACAGGAACTCACAACATGAATGTCATTCATTTTAGCAGCCCAAACAATACCTTTGTGCCTGAAGGTCCTAAGGCATTTCCCAGTATCTATATCCCACACTGTTGAAAAGAGATGAACATACAAAAATAAAACCTTGATGTTACTTAATCACAGGTTCTCACATCAGAAAAGGTTGAACTGCATATTCAAAAGGCAGAGTTTTAGTTGTTTGCAGCTGATTCTAATCTCATTCTTTTGCAGTTGCAACACGTTCTTGATCTATTCTTAACTGGCTAAAGGATCTGGGGGGGGGGGTATATAACTATCTAAATGACAGAAATCCTTTAATGGGTCTGCCCTTATAACCACTCAGCAACTACAGTTGGAACAGAATGCTGCAGCCAGGCTACTCTCAGAATCTGCATATCACTCCATTTCTATAGATATTCCATTGGTTATCATCAGTTACTGGGTTCAATTCAAGGTGCTTACTATTACCTACAAAGGCCTTAAAAGCATTGAACCGACATACCTGCAGGACTGCCTCTTCTGTTATGTGTCATTATGACAGCATAATCAGCAGCTCCCCATTCATGCACATTCTGCATGATGTCTCCAGTACTGTGGAATGGACTGACTGAAGTGATTAGGAAGGCCCCCATACTTCTAACATTTTGCAAAATGTACAAAACAGAATTGTGAAAGGAGCAAAGCTGCAGTGTAATGGTTCCTCTCAGGTGGTGACTTTATTAAGCATAAAGTCTTTTCTACACTGATTGTCTTGTGTCACAGAATTAGGGCTGGATTGAGCCTCAGTCCTCTGCTAAACCTCTGGTACACCTATAATACTTGAATTTCTGTAGCAATTAGCCTCTATAGTTGAATCTGTGGTTCTGTTTCCCAGGAGGCTTCAGGACTCTGCTAAGTGTACTGGTACTGATAGCCCTGTACATGACTTTGCCTCACATGACTTTTGTCTTCTCGGAATGTTTATACTTACCAGAAGTCAGGAGTCACTATCAAATACAGATAGAGTATCTGAACCTAGCTTCCTGGGACACTCTTAGTTAGCCTTGACTCTCTGAGTCAACCTAGCTTAACCCATCTTTCCTTGACTTTCCTGACCCCAGAGGTAGGAAGAAAGGGCTGAATTTGTTGTATATGTCAGATATATGCCAAATGCTCATCACAGACTTGACTCACAGTTACATTAGCCCCTATGGCTGGAAAACTGTGCTTAATGTCTGAATTTAGTTTTGCTCCTTGTTTTTCGGACCACCCACCCTTATGTTATGGGTCTTGACAGAGCAACTAAGGATATCCTTTATAGAATTACAAGTGCACTGTTTATATATTGGGGTTGTGTTGAAATATTCTATGTTGAAAATTGAAATGCTGCAAAAATGTTTTTTGACAATAGTGTGTAATGGAATAAACTGAGTTTTGGTTTAGAGCAAATCTCTCTCTCTCTCTCTCTCTCTCTCTCTCTCTCTCTCTCTCTCTCTGCAATTGGGAAGCCAGCTTCTCTCCCTCTCAAAATGAACACAGTGGGAATGGGAGTGCATAAAACAGCAGCTGCACTCCTCATTTCCGCAATAGCTTGTTGCCTTAAACAGATATGTTTGTATGCATTGTTCGTCCCCACCACTCCATTCTACAACTGCAGCCCATCTGCATTTTTTATCTTAATGGGACTCTTTGCTGTTAGATTCAAACATTATTTAATCTTGTAATCTACTTACTACTACTACTACTACTAATAATAATAATAATAATAGTCTGGAGATCTAGACAAATTTTCTGAGGTGAAATTATCCCTTTTTTCTGATTCATATTTTATTTTTTTTACAGTTTTCAATACAAATATTGCACTGTAATTTCATACAGTAAAATACAAATTGTCAGCAAAATCAAGTATAGTAACATATTTAAACATAACTGAAACAAAGAATTTTATGGAAATCAAAACTCTACATCTTTACCCTAATATGAGTCAAAAGCCGAGGTCAACAACCATTTGAGGAATTATCCCTTTTTCATAATATAATAGGTAAAAGGATAGGTGTAAAAATACACATAATTTTTCAGCTGCAGAATTACCTGATTAAAATAATTGATAAATTGACAAAGCTTATTGGCATTTCCCCAGTCCTTTGGCAGAGATACAGCCTTTACAAATAGGTCAGTCCTTACATAGAGTAATAAATGACTGTACCTTTGCAGTGTTCAGAAATTAGTGGGAGAACATTTCAATCCCTCTGGACACCCTGTTTCTGACCTGAAATTCACAATTGTTCAACAGAAGAACTGCAAAAAAAGGCTTCACTGTGAAACTGCTGAATTAGGATTCCTTATGAAGTTTCACATTCTCTCCTCCCAAACCACCACCACATCATTCACCCCTTGAAGAGGGACTTGTGATTTTCACCCATTAATTAGATTATTATTCTTGATTTGAGATGAATGTTACATAGTAGGGCTGCCAAGTGGGGGCGGGTGGCGAGTAAACCCCCGCTTTGGAGGCCCAATTTCCACTGCCGCGGAATCGGGCCCTGAGGGGAATTCCGCCCCCGAAGTGCAGCATGGCTGCGTGGACCACGCCCTCAACGTGATCGATGTCGCGCGTCACTTCCGGTGACGTGCTGGCGGCGCGTGCGCACACAGATCCAGGGACGGCTCCCGAAGCCCGGCAAGGCTCCCCCGCTGGTAAGTACTTTACACTTGGCAACCCTGTTACATAGCTACTTTTCACTCTGTACTTCTGCTTGGTCCTTTTACCCTGCTATTTGTTTTTTATACCACTGCATATGAAGAAGTGAGCTCTAGCCCATAGAAGTTTCTGCTGGAATAAAATCATGTTGGTCTTTAAAGGTGCAATGCAAGTCCTGATCATTTTCCTGCAACATATTAGTACCCTTCTAGAAGTAGACTTTACTTGCTTACTTTTTGCAGTGTAGTCTTTTGCTCCAGAAACAAATTTGTTCTTGTGCAAATCCAAGCAAATGATGGTCCCTGTGTGACCATTAAAAATTTTCACACATGCTCCAGTGTTGATATTCCACATCCTAAAGAGCACAGAGTGAGAACAAACAAAAACAGCCTGTAAGTTAATAAGTTATTTACTATTGACATCTAGGGATGCTGACGGATACATCAGGATTTCACTAGTCATTGATTCATATCAAGCATACTTCAGAGTAATGGTGTTTATTGTTAAGCTGTAAATGGATTGAGCAACTCAGATACCTTCTCCTATACAAGTTGGCCTGAGTATTAAAATATGCTTGTCCGTGCTGCGCATGTTCACATTCACTGAGGTAGGGCAGCTGGCCCTTATGGGCAAGATCTTTTATCCTGTGGCATTTTGGTTCATCATCATCTCTTCCATTGTCTGCCTGGTAACTTTTCTGTTATGCTTAGTCACCAGATTTAAAAATTCTCATTCACCCATGTTTAATTTTTTGAAGTGAGGTGCCCCAAGGCTTTGATTTCACAGTTCTAATTTTATTGACTTTTCCCCTTACATTATCTATTGTTAACCATACTCAGTCCCCCTTTTCAGGAATTATAGAGAATCTCCCGTTATGGCTGCCGGTTAGCACGCAAGAAATAAAAGCTCATATAACAAGCCTAAAAAATAGAAAGGCCCCTGGATTAGATGGAATACCCCCTAAAGTGCTAAAAGAGAATGTAGACATTGATCAAACTGGCTGAATTCCAAAGCAGTGGGGGATTGCTATAAATTGTCCCTGTTTTTAAGAAGGGCAACAAAAATGATCCAGCAAACTACAGGCCCATAAGCCTTTTAAATATCATTAGTAAAATATATACAAGGCACCTTCTAGATCAATTAGAATTATGGATGGAACAGGAAGAAATTATCCCACTAGAACAAGCAGGTTTTAGAATAGGAAGGTCGATTCAGAGCACTGTTTGGTGCTGCAACAGCTAATTGAACAATATTCTGGAAAAGGCCCAACCTCTCTATATGCAGTCTTCATTGACTTGAAGGCAGCTTTTGATTCCATCTCCAGACAAAGATTGTGGCAAAAACTTTAGTGCTCCAGCAAAAGACTGTTATATCTTGTTCGTGCCCTTCATGAGTCATTTCTAAGAGTGAGATGCAACTCGCAGGGCCTACTTACTGAACCAATAAAAACCGTCAAGGGAGTCAGGCAGGGCTGCCTTTTGGCTCCCACGTTATTTAACTATTATATCAGTGATATTGTCAGGTCCTGTAGTAACCACTCAGTACACAATAGTCCTTTAGCAGGTTTATTGGTAAAGTATGGCTTCTGGTCAGGTGAATGCCTTTGCCAGAACTGGTGGGTAAAAGCATTGGGACAGATTGGAGGGTATGGGGTCCACCCCTCATGCACACGTCACAAGCACCCACTAAGGCAACTACAGGTCATGAGAGAATATACGACCTAACTAGCGATATCTCTTAGTGTGTCTCCCAAGGCCACTGCTCCAGCTGAGGCCTGTGAACTCTAGGGGGGCTGCTTAGGAACAATACAAGAGGCGCCTTAGCTATAACTCCTTTCACACATTCACACACTCCCCACCTCTCAGGAATGTCAGGGAGGACTGGCTGCTTAAGGGCTGCGCAAAAGCAATTTGCCAAGCGGGTATACAAAAGCGGGAGTTGGCAACAGCAATAAGTGGCATCTATACACAGTCATTACACATGGGCACAAACAAGATCCATTCAGCAGTCCGATTCTGACAGATATGGTGAAACATATGACTGATATTAAATTCCACCCGCCGAAGCTCGCTTCCCATCACCTCTCAATACTGCTATATGCAGATGATGCAGCCCTGTTATCTAGGACTCTGCTTGGACTCCGTAAGGCACTAGACAATTTTGTAACATATTGTGACAAGGAACATCTGGTGATAAATTTTGATAAAACAAAAGTGATGGCATTTGGCAGACAACCTAAGAAGCATTCCTGGTCCATGAAAGGGAATAAAATCGAACAAGTAAACAAATTAATTTATCTAGGGGTGGCTATTCAGTAAATTCAGCAGATTGCAACATGATGGTGGAGAGAGCCGAGAAAGCTGTGCATGCTATTTTGAGATTTTTTCGATCCAAGGTGGGTTTATATGTCCTGACAGCATTGAAGCTGTTCCAACTCAAAGTCTTAGCGCAGCTCCTTTATGGCATTCTGCTGTCAACTTACATGCGCTCAAGAAGGTCTAGTCTAAATTTCTCTGTAATATTTTACAGGTACCCCCTGATGTGCCAAATGCCCTTCTATGTCTTGAAAAGGGTCAAATGATAATAGAAACTAAAATACTGTTAGTTTCCGCATATCAGTGGCTTAAGATCTATACAACTCCAAAAGGCCTTTTCCCACTAATAATTCAAGATTCTCACCACCCAAGGTGGATGTGAATGGTCAAGATCAATCTAGAAAGAATAGGAGTCTCTCCTGAGAATCTTTTGGCACAGAGGAGTGCCCAGACGAAAAGTACCATCAAACAAAGGGTGCGTGATATAGAGCGACAGCGAGATTTAATAAAAACCTCTTTTTTCTTGGCCCCCAGAGAGTCTAGATACGTTATGAATATGGCCAGATACTTTACGTATTTGGATGTGCCATCTCATAGAAAAACTCTTACTTTGGCTTGTTGTGCAGTTATCCAAACAAAATATAGGAAGATCCCATATGAAGATAGATGTTGCCCTTGTTCTATTGAAGAAGAGGAATCGATGGTTCATATGTTCTTTAGGTGCCCGTTCCATCAAGTTCATAGGGATAAGTTTATTTCCCCTTTTTTAGACAGACCATTGGTAGATGCAGATGAGACCTGCCTGGAGAGACTTTTAGTTAATGAAAAGCCAATTATCTCCAGACAAATAGCCAAATTCTGCTTCTACTTGGTAAAATTTCACAACAAGAAGTATGGTTATGAATAGTTTTTATTTGTAGGACTTGTAATCATTTTACATATATTAGACATTTTAGATATATCTTAAGGGTTTTTTAAGGACTATTATAGTTCATAAATATTTTAAGGTTTTTATGACTAAACATATTTTGTCCTGGAATGAATCTCTTTGTATAATATTGTATTCTTGTATAATATTGTATTCATATCTACTGTTATGTGTTACTCAAGTTTTTATCAAGATGGGTAGCCGTGTCTGTCTTTAAGTTTTTAGTCTTTAGTAGAAAAGTAGTCTTTAGTAGAAAAGTAGTCTTTAGTAGAAAAGTAGTCTTTAAGGTGTACCACTTCAGTGGGACGGTAACAGCGTTCCGTGCGCCTTGGTGTTTAGTCATGCCGGCCACATGACCACGGAAATGTCTTTGGACAGCGCTGGCTCTTCGACTTTGAAACGGAGATGAGCACCGCAACCCTAGAGTCTGATTCGACTGGCTTTCGAGCAAGGGAACCTTTACCTTTAAGGTGCTACTGGACTCTTACTCAAGTTTTTATATTACCAGTTTTTCTGCCATACGTTAGAAAGTCTAGTCACTGCTGATTTTGTTTTCTTGCATTGATTTTATTTTTGTATTTTTATTGACAGAATTGTTTTTATATAATGTGTTTTATTTTGCACTGTACTTCAAGAGCCTTGGCTTCAAGAGGTGATATCAAATAGTTTAGATAAATAATATAAATATATCTGCCTAAATTGTATAGTCAGCTTTGGTGCCACTATTTCCCTTTTCTGTTACATAGCATTTGGAAATGAGATTTTGTGGGGATATAATGTGACAAAGAGATACCTTAAAATATCAAGGCTAAAATAGGCTATGTAGGAATGGGCATGAACTGGCTGATGAACTCAAGTTCATTAAGAATTTTGGTCTGTTCGTGAAATAATGTTAATGAGCTGAAGAACCACCGTGAACTTTTACAAATTTTGGTGAAGTGTGTGGCTCTTTGCAAAAACTAGCTGTTGGGTTTAAATGGCTGGGATCAAGCAATTTTAAACGCAAGAGGGCAATTGTTGAAAATGTGAGTCTAAGTACAAGCGAAAACACCAAAAAATAGCATGCCCCCTGAAAGAAAATGGGGGGGGGACACAGACAACTGCCTGTCAGGTGTAGGAGGTGGGGGGAGTGTGTTGGAAGCCATCAGAGAGGCTGGGCCAGCAGCTTTGCTTCACCTCACAGGTGGTTGTTGGCCACTCCTGATTTCCTCCCTCCTGTTAAGAACTGTTTACAAGCGATTTCCTCAACTGTCATTAGCTCTCTGCAGTCCTCTGTAACTGTTTTTTTTTAACGTCAGAACACTGTGCTCTGCAGCTGACCAATCAGAGAGTGGGGGGGTGCAGGGAGGCAGCTGTCTGGCAGCCGCATAGGAATCAATTTGGGAGCACATTTTACCTCTTTTGACCCACATAGGGGTCGAATTTCTAAAGATCCCTTCTTAGTGAGCACCTACGCCATGGTAGGAGCGCTCTCCCTGAAAATGGTGTCACTAGGTCCATCAGTTTGGCCTGGGTGTTGATTTTATGGTGAGGGGACTTTCTTTTATATAGATAGATGTAAATAATACATAGGACTTTGGTCTCACCTTCGGTGTTAGGGCGAAGTGCTCCCTCAGTGATGCTAAGTACCCTCTCTGTGTGCTCTCCTCAGCACCCTTACTTGCTGAATTATGGGGTGTCCTGGCTGGGGTTTATGTAATGCTAGAAAGGGCTGCAATTGGGGGAGCACTGAGCCATTTTTGTTTTATGGGTGCCTATGGGCTATGTCATGGGTTTTGATGTCATAGCTTTCCACTGGTTTTCAGGGTTTTCCCCAGACTAACGCAGCTTAGCAAGCCACTTAACGCCTGCCATGCCCTTGGGTATGCTCCCTTACCTGATGATACCCCAGCTTACTCCAACATCACTCTCTGGTGTTGCCACACCTGTGTCTGCCTGGAGTGCAGCAGTGCTGAGATCCTCCACTAGCACATCTTGAAGATATGCCAACAAATCTCTGAGGCACACCTGTGCAGGGCTTGGTCAGCAACCTGTGCGCTTTTGCCCCCCCCTCCTCAGGATTGCCCTCAAAATCATTTCCCAAACCTTTTAGTAAAATGGGATCTACCCATAGAATTTGTCTTAGTCGAAGGTTAAAAATCCAGGTCTCGCTCCAGGGGCAGAAATGAAGTTTGTAGTGCCACATTGTTCCCAAGGCACTCAACCAACACTCTCATTTTCTGCCGGTGTGTTTCTACTCACCACTTAAATGCACATGCTAAATAATCCACCCTCAGTACTTTCATAGTCAAGGGACAGAATACAAATAAAGTTTACGCTAACATACCACAAAAACCAAGCACAAAAGTTGCATTGAATTCAGTGAGATCTGTTTTTCTAATGGATAATTTCCAGGGTATTTACATGCACTGGAAGGACATTTGTAGCACCAGCACAGCTTACCTGATACTGAGATCATAGCTGCCACTTAGAAGGAGCCCTTTCTCTTCATTGAAGTATATGGCATGGATCCTACCAGCATGGCCAAAAAGGACAGGATGAACTTCCTTCACCTCATTCACATCCAGAAAATGAATTTTGCGGTCCACAGAACCAAAGGCCACCAGCTTCCCACCACTGTAGTGGATCACCCTACCTGGATCCTCACTGAGAGAAGAAGCAGAGGCTTCATTGGGGGAGAAAGGCAGGATATAAATAAAGTAAATAAATAAAATAATGAATGTGGATCAAAACAACCCCATTTTTTATTTTGATTTGTTTCCTAACACAAAAAGTTACTTTTGAAAGTGTTTGCTTTAGTTCTTATTTTATGTTGCAAAGAGCACAATCTGACAATGGGACCCACCTGGATTTGCCGGTATGACTCACCTCAGATGAGGCAAGGTCTACCTGGCCAGCAGTCACAGTGGCCCATCCAGGACAAAACAGGTAGGGTGAAGCTACAGACTTAAGTACTCAAGTTTGGCAGCCAGATGGAGCCTATCACGCTGTCAAGTCCCACCTGGGGGAGGGAGAAACCAGGAGGTGGCTGCAGCTGAGACAGAGCTCCAGGAGTCTCCCTGGTTGGGTGAAAGAGTGGCGGGGATGAGCCAGCCCTGGGAGGGGACTGGAAGGGTGGCCTATATGAGGAGGCTCTGAAATAGTAGGCCAGGGAGGAGGGAATATCCCTGCTCAGGCAGCTTGTGAGAGCAGCAAATACTGAAGAAGAAGAAGAAGAATCAGGTAGCACAGCACCCCCCTTCTCCTTTAATCACATACCTTGAAGATCCTGTGCTGCAGGGAAACTCATGGCAGAACAGGGGCCATGTGGTCTTGATGACAGGTAGCATCACATTCCCTCTTTTGCATCATTTTTTTTTGAAAACCTTTCAAAACTAACTCTTTATGTGCTGAAAAAATGCAAAACTAAAGTGCATTTTACTACCCACATGGAATTAGCTTTGAAGAGAGTTTTTGAATTATTTATTTATGTGTGTGTGTCTGTTTTCATATTGACGGGGACACTGTTATTTGGCTGCAATTGTATAGAAAACCAACAACAAATAATTTATTTTATTTTTATTTTATTTGTTGTATTTATAACCCGCCCTCCCCACAAGCGGGCTCAGGGCGGCTCACATTGCCTGGCACAGTGTGCCAAGATTCATATACAGTTAAAGCATTTAAAACTTAAAACATTTAACACTGTTAAAACATTTAAAACATTTAAACAATCGACGATTGCCGAATAAATAAATAAAATATATTTCATTTGTGGCTGTAGCTGAACAAAATTGTAATATATTTATAATGCTCAAAATAATTGACTCTTTTATTATATAAAATCTGGGGTCATTTCATAGAAAAAAGGTGCAGGAGCTCATTAGCATAACTTATTAGGATAACTTATTTGCATATGCCACACCCCCTGTCATCACTGGAAGTGTGTCAGAAGGCAACACCCACTACTCAGGCTCCACTGGATTGTTTTGGATTGCTAGCTATTGGGGGGACGTGGACGTGCAGATCTGTCCTCGCAGAGGAGGAAGAGCTTGTACCTGAAGGTGGGCCGGGGGGGGGCTCTGCAACTTACCTGGCTGCTTCTTGCTCCTCGTGGCCCGACTGAGGACTGCTGGGAGCAGGGGGCGGGGCTTGTTGCATGTGCCCACCCTCTGGGCTCCTTACTGCCGGAGCTCCGCTCCTGTGCGCTCCCGCAGGAAATGACCCCTGTATAAAATCCAATATCAGCTTCCTAAAATTGTCCCAAAGGAGAACCCAATGGAACCAGGGAATAACAACAGTCTTGAATGGAGGGAATTGGCTCATTCCTAGGAAAAACGTGTTCTGCCATATACATACCTTTCTATTAGAACACGTACATTGTAGCTGCTACAGAAGACATTCCGCTCTTACAGCGTGACATTATCCATTAGCTGGCCATGATAAGCTTTTTGCATGTATTCAGCCTCCTTAGAACCAAGGGAAGAACAATGGCAAGTGGTAATGAGAACAAGAATGCCACACACCGAACTACATGTCTTCCTACTTGAGCTGGCAAAAGGCTTCATCCACCCTAGGGTTCTCATGTGCCCACCAGAGGCAGAAGATCTCCTGCCCCCAGTGGGCCTGGCCTGCCAGCACTCCAGCAACTGATGGGAGAAAGAAAAACTTCCAGGAAAACCTGGAAGTGACTTCAGTCCTCTGTAGGGATTGCGGAAAACCATGCGGTTTACCACAGAGTTTCCAGATATTCCTAAAGAGGTGTGATGCCACTTCTGAGTTTGCTCTGGAAGTGATGTCACATCTTTGTTGATGGCTGCCTCCCACATCCCTCAGCCTCCCATATCCACAGCCAGTCTTCTGCTGGTTGCCAGGCCTGGCCTGGCAGCCCTAATTCTCCCACCTCAAAGGAACATAAGAACATAATGAGCCTTGCTGGATCAGACCAGTGGTCCATGTAGTCCAACATCTTGTTTCACCAGTTGCTCTGGAGGGCCAACAGACAGGCATAGAGGCCAAGGCCTTGCCCTGATGCTTCCCCCAGCATTGGTGTCCTTCCTTCCTTCCCTTCCCTTCATTTATACCCCACCTTTCTCCCCAGTGAGGACCCAGAGTAGAACTCTGAGGTTTGCTGCTGCTGAATTATGGAGATTCCATTTAATTGCCATGGCTAGTAGCCATGGAGGGTGGGAGGGCGGGGCTGCAGACTTATCCTCCGTAAATTTACCCTCCATGAATCATTCTAATCCCAAGTTTTCCTGAATGAAACCCACTCCAGCCAGCATGCGGTGTGTGCTGGGACACACCAGGTCAACATAACCAGAAAACAGCCTCTTCAAACTTGAGCTATTTCCCCTTTGTTATGGGAATGGAAGAAGCACCACTCGAAGCTGACACAGCTCCTCCTTTTCATGCTCAAGCCATGGATTTCATCTGGGAGTCATCCACAGAGACGTAGCCATTGATGACAGATAATCAAGCAGAGCCCAGGAATTTCCCACCACCTACTCAATTCCAGTATCATGCACAACAGCCACAATGCACCTGAGGTGGCAGCTTGTCCTTACGCCCTAGCGCTGGAATAATTTCACCAACTTGGTTTATCTGAGGAATGGCAACCTTGACCACTCTGGCATAGTTAGCAGTTGCTCCTTTAGGACATGATCCCTGCAACCGACAAAAGAGATTAGGGTGAGAGAGAGTGACAGGACCCAGGTGCCCCAGTGAACCTTGCGGTAGAGCAAGAATTCAAATTTGGGTCTCGCCAGTCCCACTTCAACACTCTGACCCATAGACACACTGACTCCACCTAAATTATGCCTCTGAACAATAGGCTCCTACATCAACTTAAATTTAAACCAGGGCTTTTTAGAAGCTGATGCAATTTGTTTTATTTACTTGCGTGGATGTGAGAAAAGGAGCTTTAATCAGGAAAACCTTGGAAGAGGAAGTATAATTATTTCCTCTTTCTTGCTATATGGATGAAAATTAAAAAACAAACAAACTTGTGCTCGCCTCGATTTGGGCTCCATATTATACCCTGCACTGCAGCTACTGCTGGAGTTCACTGTAGTCTGGCCTCCCCAGCCTCCAACAGTCTGCCTTTGGAAGAAGAAACAAGGATTCTTTTCCCTGACAGTGCAACCCACCCTGACATACATTACAACTGGTGCACAGCCTTAACAAAGGTTTGTGCTTCTGTACTTTCTGGCTTCTCCATGGGAGAATGGGATCATTCTAAGTGACTGCTAGGGGTCTTAGGTTATGCCATCTTATACCATCTGAAGCTTGAGATCTAACAAAATACAAAAAAAGCAGTTGAGGTATAGAGCATGTTTTGTGAAAAGGTGCGATTCCACTAAACTGCTCATGCTGCCCATGAAAGTTATGGCAGTCTCTTGGGAGTCACCTGTAAGTTGTTAGTTTCATGCATATGCAATTGGCATTAAATACCTTGTGATACACTGCTCATAAATTCATATAAATATCATGCACGTCTGTCCCAAGTGGCAAACATGGGGTAGGAGTTTCTCCAGCTGCTGTATGGTAACCAAGAAAATGGAGGAAAGGCCAGCACAGTACCTGAAAGAAGATAATCTCAGTCCGCAGAACACGATGGGCTGTAATGTCCTTCCTAATATCTTTGACCAGGAAGGCCCAGTGTGGACTCACATAGGAACATTGGGTAAGTGACCTTGGGTCTAGCATTCCTAGACAACCACAGGGAAAAACTGGTTAATCCATTGCAACAAAAGAGGAGCATTGGAGATCTGTGGGAGGAAAGGAGATCCTTACTCAAAATATGCTTGGACAGCTGGATAGGCAGGCAGCGAATGATGTCTATGCATATGATAACCTTCTGGGAAGAAGGAGGCCAATTGGAGACGTCCAATGTGGCCAACCAGTGGCTGACTTTATCCTCACTCTCAGGTTTATCTCCAGATGATAGATCGGAGTTGTTTGACCAAACCCTTTTCACACGTGGACTACCTACGGTCGGGAGAAGAAAGTCAGTAGATCATTAAGAAATGGCTATAAGAAGGGCTGAGCATTTGTTCCCAAATAGGAAGCAGCAGCCCCACAATAATCTAGATAGCAGGAAAGAGATCATTTTGATGAGTCTTTCCTTTGCCTCCTAACTTACATATCCCTTGATGAGCTTGTCAGAAGGTATGAGTTTCAGTTGTGTACTGTTTAAAGCTCTGTGAGCACACAACAAAAGAGTTTTTATCCCACCATCTCACCACATGTTCCTGTTCTTGTTGACACTCCTCTTCTCTACCATTACAGTGTCCTAGACATTCCACAAAATGCCTAGCAAAAGCAAAGAGTGTGGTAACCATGGACATGGACCCAGGATAGGCTTGCCATGAACTCACTGGGTAGCAATAGGCAAGGAATGAACAGTGGTGTACCAAGCCTATCTGGTGCCTGGGACAGATAATTTTTTAATCCTCATTTATTTATTTATTTTGCTGTCAAGTCACAGCTGACTTATTGTGACCCTGTAGGGTCTTGACAGCAAAAAACAAGTGAACAAAACCCCATCCATCACACCACTTGTGTGTTGAGCAGGCATTTTGGAGGGTTTCTGTTCTCCATTTTGAAGCCCAAGCGCTGAATATCCCAAACATAGAATCATAGAATCTACAAGGCCTTTTGAGTCTGCCTTTGTACTAACTTTTACTAAAATGACTCAAAGCATCACAAACTAGTGATCACAAGTTTCACCAGACTGGATTTTAAGAAACACACTACCCCCCCCCATGAAGGTGCCCCCATCCTCCATTGTTTCCAAACAACTAAAATCACACCAGAAAATCTCTTTAGTAGAAACTGAAGGGGGGGGCATTTTTGCAAGCCCAGCAAAACTTGTGCAATGTACAGAATACCCAGCAGTACCAGTGCAATCACTGGATGCCCAGCAGAACCCAGTGCCATCGTGGCAATGCCAGCTGATGTCAAGGACAGAATCACAGTCCAAATGCCATCCCTAATTGATTGAATGAACTACCATTATTGCAAGCACTTTAATTGTGTACTGTATGATTGTTTTGTTTTGTTTTTATATGTTTTATGTGACTTGGCCCATGGTGCCGCTAATTGTGAGCCGCACTGAGCTCGCTCGTGGGGAGGGTGGGATAGAAATCCAATAAATAAATAAATAAATAAATAATAATCGTATGGCATTGTGTGTGGTATAGCCAGGAGACCCACAGATTGTCTGGCAGCCTTATAATCTAACTCTTTTGTGGTGAGCTAGACTTATGGGGGAGGGGCTGAGAAAGCTCTGAGAGCTGTGTCTGACCAAGGTCACCCAGATGGCTTCATGTGGAGAAGTGCAGAATCGAACCTGGTTCTCCAGATTAGAGTCAGCTGCTCTTAACCAGTATACCACGATGGCTCGAGGGTGGTGGTGGTTGGAAGCCTAGCAGAATCAGTGCAATGTACAGTGCCTGGCAAACCCAGTGCCAGCTGATGTCAAACACAGAAACAAAGTCCGGGGGGGGGGTGGAAGCCCAGAAGAACCAGTCCAATGTACAGTGCCCAGCAAACCCAGTGCCATTTGGTGATCATATTAACAAAGGTTTGCTATGATACTACTCTTAAATACAGTCTGTCACCAAGCAGGATAGGAATGAGAAGGTCTTGAGACCAAGAAGTGAATTTAAGGGGGGGACACAGAAAAAATTAGGTGAAGGGAGACAGAAGTGAATGAGAAATGTGTGGAAAAGAAGGAGAGAAATTAAGAGAAGGAAAGGTTGTTTTATCTTGCTGCAACACCCTAACTACTGATTTGCAAGACCTTGGCTGAGCTGGGTGCAGGGAAGGGAAGAGAGAAAGGCTAGACTATTGGAGAAAATGAACTGCAGGCTGGCAATTACTGTAGTAGCTATCAGCATGCTGGCTTGGCTGTACCATCTGTTAAGCAAGTTCGCTTCAGTCTTGGAGAAAGCAAAGACTAGCTGATCCTAGAGTGGTTTTTGCTATGCTCAGACTTCTCTGCACTCCTAGTGGCTGCAGCCAGAACTGCATTTAAAAAATAAAAGGAAAGACACTTGGTTGGATGCAGAATGATGCTGGCTTCAAGGGCCTTCCTTCAAGGGTCTTTGTTTAGCTGCACCCAGGGTGGAGCGCAACTCCACCACCCCCGCCCCTTGGTACAACACTGGGAATGACCATGCTGCCTTGATTCTGCATGTGGAAATCAGGGCTTTCAATTACTTTATTAGTTTGTATTTTGTTATTTTTTATTAGCCTCAAATAAATAAATTAAAACAATGGTAAAATAAATTTTGGAGATATGGAGTGTATGGTGTAGTACAATCTCATCAGATCTTGCGAAGCTAAGCAGGACTGATACTTGGAAAGGAGACCACCAAGGAAGACTCTGCAGCAGAAGGCAATAGCAAACCCCCTCTTCTTCTCACTTGCCTTGAAAGCTGCTTGTTGATGTCACCATAAGTTGGTTACAATTTGATGGCACTTACATACATCAAATAAATGTTATTACCTTTTTAATTTACTTATTGCTGCTGTTTTATGTTGCTTTTATAATTTCTTTATCCTCTTATCTGCCATTTTAGCCACTATGAATGCTGCTATTTTTTTAAAAAAAGAGTATATATTTTTAGTGCTGATAATATTACTGTTTTGACATTTTAGTTTAGATCCAGTGACGCGTCAATGGAAGCTACCTTTCATACCTCTCTCTTTCCCAAGCAACTTCTGAGACCTCCAGAAGCTGATATGGAAGTTGTGAGATCAGTATGAACAAAAAGCTGGGCAGCCCAGAGTACTGTGGTGAAGAAGGGGAGCCAGGCAAAATGGTCTCCACTTTGGTTTTATGTTAGCAACATCTGTTTTACCAATGGAAGCTCTGTTGGTAGAAGAAGAAAATGGGGGCCATTTCCCCCTTTTTCACTTGCAGGCACTAGGCTCTGTAACTTTTTGTATACACAGGTCCTGATGCTTCCAATATCAGCTTGTTTTTTTTTTGGGGGGGGCTGTTGAAAGAAGGGGGGAGATAGGGCTGCCAAGTCCCAAGTGGGGGTGTGGTATTTCTCACACTGCCCAGTGTTGTGATGTCACTTCAGGGAAAACCCAGGAGTGACATAAGTCCTCTCTAGGAATCTTTGGAAACTCTATTGGCCAATTATGAGAGAGGTGTGACATCCAGGAAAACCTGGAAGTGACATCATGCCATTGCCCAACAGCCATGCCATTGCCCCCCATGTCCCTGCCCCACTGGGTTTCCCACTACACTTGCATTTCATTGCAACAACCCCATTTTTAATTGTCCCTGTGCCCCTGCATTCTTCAGGTTGCCAACATCTAGCTGTTCCCCCCTCTTAAGGTGGCCCACTTAAGATGGCCCAAGAGCCTCTTCCTTATCTATAGTGGCTCCCATCTTAAAGAATGGACTCCCTGAGGAGGTGCAGGATGCTGTCTTCAGACGTTTTTAGAAGGTGCTGTAAGGTAATTTTATTTGTGGGGGCTTTTAATTGGGTTTAAGCTGCAGGGATTTTCTTGTAGAGAGGGTTTGATGGGGCCTTATTGAATTTTGTATGTTTTTAATCTTGAAGTTGTAAATCACCTTAAGCCACAGGGGAAAGGTGGGGCAATACAAACAACAAACAAACAAAATATATGTTGCAAACTGCTTTGGCAGAGTGCAGAGCATCAACAATTTAGATAATGGCAATGATCTGACTTACAGAGTGACTGTACAATGATTAAGATTAAGAAATTTGCATTTTTGAAAGTGCCAGATGTAAACAAATACCCAATAGGCTGTTCTCCTCTGAAGAAAGAAAGTTTCCAAATGCTGAAGAACTACCAGCAGAGTGAGATGGAAGACAGTTCAGACCGTGGGGGCTAGATTTTTGCTGCTCTTGCACAGAAGGCTCTTCTTCTTTGGCTTTACCCTCATCTTGCAAAAGAGATATTGCAAACATGGGAAGAGAAAATAGTAAATAAAAGCACAGTAACATCCCCCCCCCCCAATTGCCATACATAGGAAGAAACTAAATAGTCTCATAGCAGGGAGGGGCTGTGGCTCAGTGGTAGAGCATCTGCTTGGCATGTAGAAGGTTCCAGGTTCAATCCCTGGTATCTTCAGTTAAAAGATGTGGCAGTAGCCATGTCTGATTCAGTATAAGGCAGATTCATGTGTTTATGAATTCTGCATTCACTCCCTTCTGAACAATCAGGATGTTTGAGTTTCATACATACATATCAGAATGAATTAATCTCAGCCCTGAACTTGCTGATCTAATGTCATGCGCATTATTGCTCCACAGTTGTGTTCTGTGACTTTTAGGAGGTTATTGCGCTCTGATATTTACAGTGCCTTAAAGCAGCTTCATCCTCAGAGGTAGGGCAGCTTATCATTCTGTGGAGGACATTCGAGAACTATAGTGATGAATTTATGTGTTCATGGTAGTCTCATATGTGCAGGTATAGTGTTTCACAGTTCCCTTATATACTCACTATTGCCCCCATAGTTTTACTGTTGATTCTTTCCAACTTGGTTTTTTTCTTGAACTTTTGTGCCTGAAGCTAGATCTACTCAGGAATTAATGGACTGAATAGAACGGTACTATTAAATCTTGAGGCTTGAAAATTATGCTGCTAAGAATATAACCTAAAATGGAATAATTCTATGTCTCTGCACCACAAAATTTATCTATCTTCAGGTTACATAAATCATAGAATGTTAGAGTTGGTAGGGACCTTGCAGGTCATCTAGTCCAACCCCCTGCACTCTGCAGGAGCATAGTCAAAAGATAGCCCTACATACCTACAACATACCCGAAAGATGGCCTCCGCTTGAAAACGTCCAGCGAAGTGGCATCCACTACCTCCCGAGGCAGACTGTTCCACTGCTCAACCACTCTTACAGTTAGGAAGTTTCTCCTGATATTTAGCCGGTAACGACTCCCTTGTAATTTCCACCCATTAGATCTAGTCTTTGCAATCCGGAGCAAGAGAGAATAGATCTGCTCCATCTTCTACATGACAGCCCTTCAAATACTTGAAGACTGCAATCATGTCCCCTCTAAGCCTTCTCTTTCCCAGGCTAAACATACCCAACTCTTTGCCTTTCCTCATAAGACTTGGATTCCAACCCTCTCATCATCCTGGTTGCCCTCTTCTGGACACGCACAAGCTTGTCAACATCCTTCCTTAAAATGTGGTGCCCAAAACTGGACACAGTACTCCAGGTGAGGCCTGACCATAGCAGAATAGAGCGGAACTACCACTTCCCGTGATCTGGACACAATGCTTCTGTTAATGCATCCTAAGATTGCATTTGCTTTCTTCGCAGTCACATCACACTGCAGGCTCATGTTTAGCTTGTGATCAACCAGAACACCTAGATCCTTTTCACATGTGTTGCTGTCAAGCCAAGTCCCTCCCATTCTATATCTGTGCCTTTGATTTTTTGTACCTAAGTGTAGGACTTTGCACTTCTCTCTATTGAAATTCATTTTATTTGTCTCAGCCCACTGTTCCAGCCTATCTAGAGCATTTTGAATCCTGACTCTGTCTTCTTCAGAATTAGCAATCCCACCTAGCTTCGTGTCATCTGCAAATTTGATAAGCATCCCCTCTATGTCTTCCTCCAGGTCATTTGTAAAAACATTGAACAACACCGGGCCGAGGACCAAGCCCTGCGGCACTCCCCTCAAGACTTCCCTCCACATAGACGCAGAGCCATTTACGAGCACTCGTTTGGTACGATTTTTCAACCAACCATGAATCCATCCAAAGGTTGCACCATCCAGCCCACACTTAACCAGCTTATCCTCAAGGATATCATGAGAAACTTTGTCGAATGCTTTACTGAAATCTAGATACACTATATCCACAGCATTGCCAGAGTCAACCATTTTGGTAACTCTGTCAAAAAAGGAGATAAGGTTGGTCTGGCATGACTTATTCTTGATAAACCCATGCTGGCTACTACCAATTAACTCATTCCGTTCAAGGTGCTCACAGACAGAGTGTTTAATAATCTGCTCTAGAATTTCCCAGGTATTGATGTCAAGCTGACAGGCCTGTAATTTCCCGGGTCTGTATTTTTTCCCTTCTT